AAAAATATATCTCAATCCATAGGATATTATCAAGACTTGGGAGCACAGTGGGGAAAGCAAAAAAATTTAACTGAAAGAAGAATAACTTTTCTAGCTTAAATGCTACCATAAAGTCATTTTTTTCTCTTCTTGGTTATAATTTTCTCATTTGCCAGGTGGGGAAGATGCTTATTTGATCTCCAGTTCTCTAAAACTTCTAGATCTCCAGGACTTTCTTAGGTGACACTGAAGAAAAGCAAAGAATGTCAAAGAACTCTCTGTAATTGGTTTCACTTTTTCAATCTATATCCCTCATGAGACCACAAAACTACTTTGGGATACTGCACAGTTCAGGGAAAACTTCCAGCATCCGGAAAGCACCAGATTCTAGACATTCAGATCAACCCCACATTAGCATTGGATCTTGTGAAAAACAAGATTCCCCTTGAAATTCTAATAAATAGCCAGCAACCAGCACTTAACATTTCTAAGCATTGATCTTTCTATACTCTTTGGATAGTCCTATTTCAACCTGTTACCTATCCAGAGGTGTTCACATCCTGTCCCACAGAGACCTCTGCCAGAAAGAAAAAATACAGCATGGGAGTCAAGAGAAGAGCCTATGTGTACTAAGCAGACACATGAGAGCCCAGTCTTGTACTAGACACTATAATACAACATCTCATTTAATCCTCATAGCATGTCAGCAAATTATTTCTCCATTTTCTTTTTTTTTTTGGTGTGGTACTGGGGCTTGAACTCAGGCCTTCACCTTGAGCCACTCCACCAGCTCAATTTTTTATAATAGGGTTTTTTGAGATGGGGTCTCTCGAAATATTTGCCCTGGCTGGCTTCAAATGGCAATCCTCCTGATCTCTGCCTCCTGAGTAGCTAAGATTACAGGTCTGAGCCACCGGCACCCAGCTCCCCTTTTTCTTAATGAGGAAATATTTTCTGAAAAGTTAGGCTTATTCATTTGCCCAACATGTGTTAAGTACTTGCCTTATAAATGCCAAGTACTTTGCTAAGAACTGAGTATAACAATGATGAGTAAAACAAACATGGCCCCTACCCTCGTGGAGCAAATGTATGTGTTTGGGGGGTGGGGAGTGGAAATTGGTCAAAGAATTCTACAAAAAAAATTGAACAAAGGAGAGGTTTATGGAGTCATCGGAACAAAAGTGACTAGACAACTACGGTGGTGAAAATGGATGCGGGGAGAGGTAGAGCTATCCACGGCTTACACTATCAGTAAGCTGACAAAACTGAGTTAAACCTTGGTGTGTCTGACTTCAAAGACCGTGTTTCTCTCTACCTTGCCACTTACTCTTTCATTTAGCAATTAGGTATTGACCTACTGTGTGCCGGGCCTGTGCTGGGGACAGAGCCATGAAAAAAACAGACACATCTCTCATGTAATTTACAGTCTAGACATTAAACAAACAAGAATACAAACAGATGTATACAATTACAAATTGAGGTGAGCATCACAAAGGATCGAGTTTAACAAGTAAAATTACCTACAAGGCCAACAGAAATCTTCCAAAACATTGATAATTTGAAAAAGAAAAACCACTTGCCCACTGCATGTGAGTGAAAGACTTCAGGAAAGTTGCCTGTCAGAATTGGATATCCTTGGCCAGTTCATAAGCCCTCTGGCAAAAGCTAGTGTGTCTCAAACTTGGCACAGACCCTGCTGACACAGAAGTTTTTCTAAAAGTAAGACTGACTACTGAATTTACTTACGTATCCCAACCTCAGGTGAACATTACTATGTCCATATTTTACACAGATTTTCACACAGATTCGTTCATCTGGTCCTCACAGCAGCCCTATGCAGAATACAGGTAGGTTTTAATATCCTGCTTGAGAGATGAGGAAACTGAGGTCTAGACAGGTAAAGTGACTTAAGGTAATAAGAGTAGGAAAGCACCCAAATCTGCTGTCCAACTCTCACAAAAGCACCTCCAGCCAGGAAATCATGAATCTCAAACAAGACAGCTGCAGGTCACTGAGTCTGGATAAAGTCACCCAGGAGTCCCATGAAATTCCTGAGAACAATGATCAGAGACATTAAGCAGCTTGGGAAAGGTTTCTAGAATGCAGCTCCACCAGCCTGAGACACAGGTACCCTTGCCAACTCTCCCAGATTAGAACAGGTTCTCCTGGACTCCTTCCAAGAGCCTCTGACTAACAGAGAAAAGTATTTTTCCATTGCAAACACTGCAGGGCAGACACCAGACTCCTGAGAGGGGAGAGCACAGAGCACATCCAGATTTCCATACAAACACTCTGTAAAGTTATTCTAATGCCATATGAACTATCCCAGCAAAGCACCTACCACTGGGGGCATCAGCCTTGGTCAGCATTTCTCAGTCCTGACACCACAAACATTTGGGCTGAATAATTTTTTGTTAAGGGGTGGGCTGCACCTTTGCATTGTAGGATGTTTACTTACATCCCTAGCATCTACCACCCACTGTTATAACCACAAATGTCTCCCACCATTGCAAGTGTTCCCTGAGAAACAAAAAACACCTCTGGTGAGAAATGCTGGTCCAGAGACTATGGAGGAACTGAAAAGCAGAGTGCTCCCCTTTTCTTTCATCCTCCCCTATCCAATCTTTTCTGGCCAGATATATGGACACTATGCACATACTCCTTTTTTAATCACTATCACACAACTAGTGCCTCCCAGCTAAGTAGCTACCTGCTGTTGTGGCCTGCAAGTATGTCCCAGGGAACATTTCACCACTGGAGCTTGTGAAAGCAACCAGAGTCAAATAACTCCTGTTCCACTAATGAGCTACTTATGACCCTGTGAGGAAGTCTTGTTCCCATTAATGTGAGCAGCTGAGTCTGATTAAATGGAAGCCCTGGGTGTTTCCATCAATGACATCAGGCCAGAGTAAGGGCTTCCACTGCTGCTAAAAAGAACACCAAATTGGTGAATCAAATAGCAGAGACTCCCATTTACCCAAAATTCAGTACAACAATCAGGATACTCAAACATCCCAGCTTTAAACCATTCTGGACTTAGGAGAAAGGGGAAAGTGGCACTATACATAAACAAGTGAACCAAATTAACAGCTTAATTAAACAGCTGAAACATTACCAAAAAATCATACTCTGGGGTGGAGGTGGAAGCCTAAAGCTGAGCTCCAAAGCAGCTGGAATGACTCAGCCAGTGTCAGAGATGTAGGTTCCAACCTCCCACCCCGAGGGTTGGGCTGCTGGCCCAGACCTGGCAATCAGCATCAGTTACAATGCTTCAAAGAAGCGACATTTTTATGTCTTTCATTAGTCAGCTACCTAACTAGTTAAAGGGTTTACTGACAGATTCTACCATTTGGTAGTAAGTGTATTTTACTGCATTTCAATTCTTTGAAGACTGACTAACCATGAAACACCCACCTGTTAACACCTAATTACTCAGACTACTGCTAGTTTTTAAGCTACTTTTGCACTTTGTACTTAGCTCTATTGTTGCACGTCTCATACTGGAATGTGCTGAAATTTGATTACAGGCCTGCCTTGCCTAAGGTATTCCTTAAGGGTAAGATTTAGATGGATGGATGGATAGACAGATAGATATACAGTTACTAGGCACATACTCCTTTTTTAAATCAATATCATACAACTAATGCCTCCCAGCTAAGTAGCTACCTGCTGTTGTGGCCGGCAAGTATGTCCCAGGAATAATTCACCACTGGAGCTTGTGAAAGCAACCAGAATCCATCCAGATGGATGGATAGATGGATGGAGAAGTTTTCCATCTCTGTATTTTTAGACTTCAGCCTACCTTACATATTCTAGTGAGACGGCATGGCCCATGTCTTTTCTTCTATGATTCTCTGAAGCTTAGTACATAGCTTAACAGGTGCCCAGTAGACAGCTGCTTTGGTTGTGCTACTGATTCCAAAGATACACACTGAAGTCTTCTGTTCATGAACCAATGAGTCCCAGGAAAATGGACAGAAATCCTAGTTGTCTACCCTGCCTTATCTGCATTTGTTTAGTCTCTTTTAGCTAGAAACAATTTGATGCAGAAAAATGACTACATTCTCTGATAGGCAGTGGTGACACAGAAGTAAGCAAGAATAATATGGTGACTTTCCTCATACAGTTTATTGTCCAGAGAAAAAAGGCAGAAATCAACAATTACACAGACCAGCAGCTTAGTGCGTCTCTTTAAGAAAATTTTCTGAAGATGGGCCCAATGTTCAAACAGTCTGAATCTCTTTGCAGAAAGACATGATTTTCCTCCAAATGAGTAACACAGCTTCCTTAGAGCATCCTCTAAAGAGTTAATATGGAAATTTTAGCATACATTTTTATTATACAGGCTTCTTTTCCAAAATGATCAAAAACTGTTTACAAGACTGATTAAAAACACCATAGATATGAATGCTCACAAGTCTGTTTGTGTGTTCCAATGCACAGTATATGTGACTTACCAAGGAGAACTGAAGCTGACGGAAAACCCACAAAGACCAGAAAAACCTGAAACTGCAATCATCAGGTATTTGGGAACCTAGACATGGTGTGTAGCCAGCAAGCAGGACAAGAGTAGGCAGGGAACTCCTGAGAACCCCTGAAGTTCAGAAATGAACTCACATGACAATAGATGTTAAGAATTACAAACTGTCTGAAGAACTGAGTGTAAGTCAGCAGGAGCTCTTTGACAGCAGAGATGAAGAGAGGCCATGAAAAACCAAAATCCAAAAATAAAGAAAGATGTAGGCCAGGAAAGAACTGCCCTGACAGAAAGATGAGAAACAGATGACGACTCTAGGAAAATGAAGATGCCAAAAGCTGTATGCGTGGTATGCCAGCATCCAAGGGGATCGGAGTTATCTGAATTGATGTACATAGTTTATTGGGGTCAATAAAAGCTTAAATCAGAATTTCATGCCAGCTATGATTCAATTTTGAAATATTTATCTTTAGCTTAACATCTTCTGATGCTTTTAATTTAGATTCAGGTGGAACTAGAGTCATCTCTGCAGCTATTTCAAGCCAAGGCCTCCCCAACAACCTGGACAAGTTTCTAGATGATGCTTGCTGGAATGCATTCATTCTCAAAACCTCATGGATTCTTAGGACTTGAAAGAGTTAACCTAATCAAATCTTGCATTTTTTGGTGCAAACCTATGATCCAAACAGGAAAAACCACATACCTGACTGATGGCAGAACTAGGCACAAGATCCTCCTCTGTCCAATCCTTAAAGCTTTTCACCAATAAAAATCCTTAGTCCCAATTACCCTTACCAACCCCAAATTTTCCGCTGCATTCTCACCTGTCTGAGCAACCAGATGTGTCCACCCACTCCAGACGGTAGTGACCTTTTCATTCTGAAAACAATGTGCTTCTATTCTCTGAGGCACAGGAAGGAAAGCAGCCTGGGTAGCCAGTTGCCCATGCTTGTTACTTCCCCAAACATACAGCTCACCTGCATCTTAAACAAACAGAAGAGGAACAAGAAGGGGATGAAGCATTAGTCTCCAATGATGGAAAACAACACACATTTGAAAAAGAAGTGGTTGAAAGAAATTGTTCCATACTTATGCTACAATGTTTAGTGGAGCCAATCATAATACAAAATGTATATATAGTGTAATAGAAGACATAAAAATTCTGTACATAGACAACAAAGTTTAATGTGCTTAGTAGTTTATGGAATGTGAATTTGTGGTGATTTTCTTAATTTATTCATTCAACAAATATTCATTCAACATCTATTCTGTGTGAGACATATTTACTTTCTACATTTTTTAAATATATGCTTACATTACCTTTTGTTAGGAAGAAAGTGTTTTACCCTGTTTTGAAATAACAGGTTAAAATAAACACGATTTAAGCTTAAACTTTTTTAACATACGATTATTTTACTGCATGTCCTATCCAGAAGAAAATATAACGATACCACATCACATCTGTGTAGCATTTTAGCTCATTTCAACCTCACAATAATCCTGTGATTTAAGAAGAAATGACTGACAATGTGATTTAAAAGAGAAAAAAAAAAAAGCAAATTCAGAGTCAAGTGACTCTGGCTTCTATTTCTGGATCTGCTAACTAGCTATTGTCCTTGGACAAATCACTTCCTCTCTAAGCTCACTTTCACTAGCTGAATATTGGAAGGGAGGGCCACTGGTCTAGAAGGGCAGACAATATGACTGGTGACACTGGTGACAAGAGTAATTAGTGAGGAGCTGGCAAAGTGGCTGAAAGTGGTAGAACACCTGCCTAGCAAGCATGAGGCCCTGAGTTCACACCCCAGTACTGCCAAAAAACTAAACAAAAACAAGGTAAGAGCAATTGGTGGGCAACTGTGGTAAACCAGAAAGCACATGACTGTCTAAAAGGCATTCAAGTTCAAAAGTATCTTTCAGATGAAAACTAAACAAAATGAGGCCAAGCCTATGGGTTGTCAGTTTAAAACTCCTCAGAATTTCTCTATAAGCTTTCCCAACCCTAACATTCTAATATTCTCCAGCTGCACTAACCTACAGCACCAGCTACATGGGACTACTGAACACTTGAAATGTGATAGCCAACACTGAGACATGTTGTAAGTCAAAAATACACAATAGATTGCAAAGAATGCAAAAAAGCATAGCTCGCTAATAATTTTCATATTGATGACATGTTAATATTTTGGATACTAAGTTAAATAATATATTATTAAAATTAATTTCACCTATACTTTTTACTTTTTGAAATACAACTCACATTTTATTTTAATCAGACAGCACTGTCCTGGAAGATATGCTAATCAAGGCTGGAAGATATTAAATGGCCTCAAGATCATATGGCCACTAAATGACTTATGCCAGCAATGGGATTAGAAACCAGGTCTTCTGCTTCCACTGCACTTTGTGACCTCCCAATAAAACGTTACAGTATTTCTTGCCCTCAAGAAGTCTGGTATATTCCCAAAAAGTCATCAAAAGCTAAACAGCTTGGTGCCAGTGGCTCATACCTATACCTCATATTTAGGAGGCTGGGATTGGGGGGATCATGGCTCAGGCCAACTGGGGCAAGGGGTGGGGTGATGAAAAAGTTCACAAGACAATATCTTGATAGAAAAAGAGCTGGGGTGGGCTGGTAGAGTCACTCAAGTGGTACAGTGCCTGCCTAACAAGTGCAAAGCCCTGAGTTCAAACCCTGGTACCACTAAAAAGAGTGCCCAACAGTAGATGCTTAATCACTGTTTGACACTGGGCACATCCTTCACAGGCTGGGCCTTGTTTCCTCCATTCTAAAAGGATTTTAGAATTGAGCCTTTTGGTCAGTCAGGTAATCCTGCAGCACTGACATTCTGCAGTTGTCCAAAATGAACTTGGTATATTTCATTCTCAGAGAGAGGGAAACCCTCTGAACTTCATTTGGGCATAAAAAATGTAAGATTCCCTTATGGGGGGCAAGAAGTCCCCTCAGTAAAATCTCAATCCACTGAATGGACTGGTGGGGTAGAGATGCCACTGATGCTGAAGCCTGTGTCTGCAATAAGCCTTGGTGTCCAAGTGTCTTTTTGAAAGACAAACTGTCTTCCACATGGGGATCATCATGCTGTTGCATCAGCAGGTAAAATTAAATTCTGCTGCAATGCCAAACAGTTACATAATCTACAAGGACTCCAGAGAAAAGGTCTAAAGAGCACTGAACAAAATCCAACGTGTTAACAGCCTGAACAAGATGAGAAAAGAGGGCTATTAGTCTTGACAATTTTTAACTCGCTTTCAAAATATCAAAAACTAATTCACTTTGTGAATATATTAAAATTGACTAAATGGACACGTTAAATGGTGAATATCATACATATATGAATTACATTTTAATAAAATTTAAAATCTAAATGAAAAACCATAATGAAAGCAGTGCCCACACAGGAAATAATGAATGTACTAATCACAAGATTTTTGAAAGAAATAAACATTAACAGGCAATTAGACAATTTCTAGGTTTATATAATATCAACTAGTTCAAATTAATTAGAACACAGGAGAAATGTTTGCCTCTTGGACAAGAATGCCCTCCCTCCCTCACTGGCAGTGGGGTAAACAAGGCCCTGAAGACCCTAGAGGAGAGGTGGGACCAGGTGCCAGCAGTCACTTAAAGCAGGCATTCACTTCAACTCAACACTTAACAAACATATAAATCTATCTAAAGTGATATGAAGGATAAAAGTAGGTGTGTCTTTTGTTAGGTGGATGTTTTAAACACATTAAACAAATTATCTGTAGCTCAGAATTTGTCAAGTATTTAAATCCTCACAACGATGGCTCTGGAAACAGTAACAGCGACTCAGTTGAACTGCATTGCAAATTCAGTGTGGAAGAAGCCAGTGTTTCACCTGGCTTTCCACATGAAACACTAAGTATGAAAGTCCCTACTCTTTGCTTAAAAATGAAATGCATTCAATTCTGCATGTGAGGTCATACCAAAATAAATCTCTCTGAGACAAAAACACCAGTCTACTCCTATTCCTATCAGGACAATCCAGGTCAAAAGAAAGGGGCAGGCTTCACTTTCAACAAAATACTACATTGCCTCCTAAAGAAAAGTCACTAGAACATTTACACATTTACACAGTATTGACTGAGCATCAAATGGATGGATGTTCACACAGCCCACAGAGAATATAGGGTAAAAGAGAAAAAGTTTAGATAAAAAGTACTTAAATCCAGGGAATGGGGCAGAGAGAAAAATCTGGGAAATATATAAACCTATAAAACAGATTAGAGATATTTTCAGATAACTAGATTAGATAGAAAGATACAAAGATGAAAGAATAACAAAATAGATATATAGGTAAAAAGACTAGGTAAATACATAGAGAAAACAGGGAGATATGTGAACTCCATATGGATGGATAAAATAGACTAATTTGAAAGTAAACAGCTAATGAATACAGAAAGGAAGAGAATGTATATAGTTACATAAGATGCTATATCGGATTAGATGGATAAGACAGCGGTATATATACAGTCATGTGCCTTATAACATTTCAGTCAATGACAGGCAATATATACAGTTGTATGCACCATATGGCCTTCCTGTATAGTAGACCATATCATCTAGACTTGTGCAAACACACTCTGATGTTCAAACAATGACAAAATTGCCTAAGTACACATTTTTCAGAACGTATCCCCATCATTAAACAACACATGACTGTATGTAAATTTACTGTTAATTATATGATCTGACCATCACGATTCCCTGAGAAGAAAATACGCTTTTCCTTCTTATATAATTGAGAAAACAAACTCAGGAAAAGAAAGCCCAGGTTTAATGGGAGTACTTTACATATGTTATCATTTTTAATTCTCATAAGTACCCATAAAATATGGGAGATGGTCTCAGAAAGGTAATTTGCCTAAGATCATACTGGTAGTAGCACAAGGTTTCTGGCTCCAAAGTCTATGAGCTCCCCTCCATACCTCAGTGTGACCACTCTAAGCAGTCACATACAGAATTCCGAATGGCACGCTACACTGTGAAAGAGTCGGGACCTACCTGTTAATGAAGCTGAGTGGTCTGAGCCAGCAAGAACTCTTACTGCTTTACAATTCTCCATGCCTACAAAAAAAAATTGTTTTCTTTTGAGCTATGTTTATTACAGAACAAACTGGGCAGAAAGGAACATTTCAGCCCTTTCTCCTTTGGGGAGAAACTCAACCAGTGCAGGTAAGTATGAGTCACATGGTAACAAACAAGGGGTTTGAACAAATAAGTAAATATACTGAGGATAAAGCAGCCAGATTCCTCACTATTATGAAGGAGAGGAAAGGTTCAGATATGAAAAGGACAAAAGCTAGAAAAAAACCAACTGAAAGGAAAAAAAAAAGCTATAAACAAACAATCCAATGATACTGAATTATAATTAATCAGTTGAAATTCATGGGTTCTAATAAAAATAGATAGATGAATACATATAGGTGCACATATGTTAAAAAATATATACGTATGTGTGTCTATTTCCTAGCTCTGTCTGCAGAGAAAGTCTAGAAGCAAAAAAAATCTCATACATTCAGCGGCTGTAATATACAGGACTTAACTACAAACCCAGGCTTCAGAGCACACAGCAGAACTAGAATTCAAACCTGCCTTCTACCTCCAAATCCAGCATTTTCCTCCCTTAATTACACTGCCTTCACTGACAAGGTAGAATCCCAATCACCCCTGCTAGAAGTTGGGACAACATGTGGTAACATGTGGCCTGGCATGCAGATGCATGCAGTCTTTTGTTCTCTGACTCTCTTTTCTGAACTTGTGTCTGACTAGCTGGGGTCTTCAGAAAAGACATTCCACTCCTTCCAGTGGAATCCTGTGAAAGGAATGGGACAAAAAGATATTTTCAGCCACATTCACCAGAGAGGAATCCTGGGCTCTAGTGGCCAGGTGAAGAGAGGGCAACCAGGCATCAGCTCCAGAACCTTTGGCAATAAGGTGAAGATGGGAGAATGAAAAGTGAAAGGCCTTGAGGATGAGGACAGAAAACCTTGCCAAATAAACTCTGAGTCTAATCTGTTACTCTAAGCAGATCCCAAACATGTTACTTAAATCAAATAAAAAGCATGTTTTATTCTTTCTAGTTACTGGTCCTAAGCTAAAATATAGAGAAGAGTGACACAAGTGCCTGCCCTTTAAAAGTTCATTATTCAGACAAGCATGGACATACGCAGTCATAATCCTAGCACTGGAAAAAAGGTGTGATACCTAGGGAACAGTGAACATCTTGATGAAGGAGGGTGAAGGGTTTGGGAAATGTAAGTTTATCTAATGAATGTTTTCAAGACCATGAGGAGGGACCAGCTGTCCAGGATCAATGCCTCCTTCTCCTTTTCTCAGAGTACCCTTTCTAACTCAATCTATGGGCTTCTGAAAGCTTATCCTAGCCCCAACACAAGAGAAAGCCTCTAGGACTTAGAAAAATCAGAATGATCCCAACACCCATGCACGCCACTCCCCCTGCAGACTCCCTTTCCTTGTTCTTTCCCTACCCCTTCTCACCACCCTCAAAAATCCCTCCTTCATTCTAAGTTAGAGAAGAGTAGTTAGAGGTCTCCAGGTTTTTCCTACAGCCAACCCTCAGTAAACTGGGTCACAAAGGGAAAGAGTAGAGGAGATAGAGACAAAGTATACATATAGAGAAAGACCCACAAAGAAAGTGCAAAACAGAGAGGGAGAGCTAACAGAGGGTAGGGGGAATAGGAAGAAGGAGGATGAGGGAGAAAGGAGGAAGAAGCCCCTACAAACCCAACTGACCAAAGATCAACCAAAAGACCTACAGGCAGAACACTTACTTATTGCCCCCTCCATGTGTTTTTGTGTAGATTTCCCTATAGGAACACTCCCAGCCCTATTTCATCCTCTCTCACTCCTGCTTCTCTTTTAGGAGAAGGAACTGGGCATGTGAGGCACAGTCCACAGTCCTTGTGGGTTCTCGCTTTGGGGTATGCCTGCCTGTAAGAAGGGTGCACTCTCCTGTTCTCTTGGCCATGCAGCGTAACACGGCTGACTCTATGCGGTCGCCCCAGTGCCTGGTGGATAAACTGAATCTAGGATTCAGGATTTACAGGCTTATTATTGCTACACGTTGTTTCCAAACACCTAAGTCATATCTTCCAAGTAGCTTTTCACATTTCTAGAGCTACCATTTTGATTTCTGTCTGCCTGACTTGTATCTATCTATCAATAGGTCCCAACTCTCACAGCATAAAAGGTTACTTTTACAGGGTCCACAAAAATCTCAACAAGACTAACATGCCAACAGGGAGGGTTAGACAGAGAAATCAAGAAATACCAAAAAGTAAAAATCCACCTACCTATTTTGTGTGTGTGTGTTTCTATTTCATCACAAAATGAATAAATAAATAAATATAAGACTAAAAAGAAATAAAGGTCTCACCTGTCACTCTGCTTGGTTCCTTTGCTGTCAAAAACAGTGGGAGAGACTGCCCAGGACACAGTCGTCGTCCAGATGATGCCAACCCGGTCCCCCACTGGAACACAATGCCACTCACTTCTCAATGGAGCAGAAGAGAAAACAGAGAAAATGCACATCAGGATAAGATCAGATTACACTTTGAACCTCACTGCTATGTGAAATTACCAATTTATGGAGAAGCCCAATTGCTTCAAGGGGTCCTACGACCAGCTGCAGGGATTGCCACCAAGCCAATCACAAATCATCTTTAGGGTGATCTAAGACCATCAAAGAAAATGCCAATATGGTAAAATCTCCACCAAAAAGTCCCAGAACACTCCTCCAGAATCAAGTCACTGTAATGCTACCTTGCTTCTCGTTAAATCAAAAGGAACCCTGAAGACTATCAAGTTCATTTCTCACATCTACTAGATGAGAAAACTGAGGCCCAGAAGAGAGGAAAATCACACAGGGAATTTACAGCAGAGAAAAGGCTAAGGCAGTCCCCTTTCCACAACACCAAGATGCATGCAAAGATTCTCAACTACCAATTAAATATATGATTGTAAGATAACTTAGTAGACAAGACTTCAGTGGAGTGACCTTTTATTTCCATGTCCACTGAATCTAATTTATGTATCCATGTTGTGAACTTCATACAAATGCACAGATAAAATCCATAGTCAGAGGTGTACAACTTGGACCTACCACCCAACACCAACATTAAGATCTAATCCCATGGAAGCATTCTATAACCTGTAGTCCTCTAAACTCTAAACAGACAAGCCTGCTTTATGAAAAATAAGTTATGATCACTGAACACAATATGAGCAAAACACAGGGTTGCAATAAAACAAAACTCATAATCTCCTTAAGAAATAAACTACAAGGACAAAGAGAGAAAGGAAAAAAACGTACAGATTAAAAGAAACTTCAGGTATCTGATTAAAAAAAAAAAAGGTTTAACACCCATAATATGTAGAGAAATCCTTTTAAAAAAGAACCCAATTAAAAAATGGGCAAAGAACTTAAATAGACATTTCTCCAAGAAGATTCACAAATGGCCAATAAACTCATGAGACAATGCTCAACGTCAGTCATCATTAAGGAAATGACAATCAGGACTGCAATGAGATATCCCCTCACACCCAAGCAATGCTATATCAAACAAACAAAACAAAACAGAAAATAACAAGCGTTGGTGAGCTTGTGGAGAACTCAGAAGCCCATGCACTGTTGGTGGAAGCATAAAATGGTGCAACTGCTATGGAAAACAATATGGCAGTTTCTCAAAAAATGTAAACAGAATTGCTATATGATCCAGCAATTCTACTTCTACCTATATATCCACAAGAAATGAAAGTAGGACCTCAAAGAGACATTTGTACATCATGTTCATACAAGCATTATTCATAACAGCTAAAACATGGAAGCAACTCAAGTGTCCACTGACAGATGAATGTATGCAAAATGTGTCACACACACACATACACAATGGAATATCATCAGCCTTTGGAAGTATAGAAATGCTGCCCAGCATGTAGTACATGCCTATAATCCCAGAACTCAGGAGGCAGAGGCAGGAGACTTGCAAGTTCAAGGCCAGCCTATGCTACAATGGAGGACATACTAAATGAAATAAGCCAATAACAAAAAAGACAAATACTGATGAGTCCATTTATATGAGATAGATACAGTAGTCAAAACTATAGAGACAGAAAATAGAATGGTGACATACAAGGGTTGGTAGGAGAAGGAATTAAGAGTTGTTGAGCACAGACTTTCCTTTTTTTTTTGGCTAAAGTGGGGATTGAACTCAGGGCTTCACACTTACTAAGCAAGAGCTCTACCACTTGAACCACACCTCCAGTCCTTTTTGCTTTAGTTTGTTTTTTAACATAGACTCTCAATCTTTTTGTACAGACTGGCTTTAGACTAGGATCCTCCTATCCTCGCCTCCCAGATAGCTGGAATTACAGATATGTGTCAACACTCAGCCAGAGTTTCAATTCTGCAAGATGAAAAAAGTTCTGCTGATGATAGTGATAATGACTGCATAACAACATGAATGCACTGGATACCAGTTAAACATAATTAAAATAGTAAATTTTATGTTAGGTATATTTTACCACAACAAAAATTCAAAAGTAAAAATATAAACAAAAACATTTAAAAGAGAGGCTTCACATACATATCAAACAATTGGAATATATAGACCTAATATAATATATAGACCTAAAGAATTAATGAAACAAAAAGTTGGTTCCTTGAAAAAATAAGATCGACAGACACTTGGCAAACCTGACTAAAATGAGGAGAGAAAAAACCCAAATTAGTAGAATCAGGAATGTAAAAGAGGCGATAACAACAAACACCATGGAAGTCCAGGAAATCATCAGAGACTACTTTGAGAACCTATATTCAAATAAATTTGAAAATCTTAAAGAAATGGACAGATTTCTAGATACTTAATGATCATCCAAAACTGAACCAAGAGGACATTAATCACCTGAATAGATCTGTAACACAAAATGAAATTGAAGCAGCAATGAAGAGTCTCCCCAAAAAGAAAAGTCCAGGACCTGATGGATTCTCTGCTGAATTCTATCAGGCCTTTAATGAAGAACTGATACCAACCCTCCTTAAACTGTTCCACGAAATAGAAAGGGAAGGAAAACTGCCTAACACATTTTATGAAGCCAGTATTACACTTACCCCAAAACCAGGCAAAGACACCTCCAAAAAGGAGAACTATAGGCCAATCTCCTTAATGAACATTGATGCAAAAATCCTCAACAAAATAATGGCAAATCGAATTCAGCAACACATCAAAAAGATCATTCACCACGACCAAGTAGGCTTCATCCCAGGAATGCAGGGGTGGTTCAACATATGAAAATCAATAAACATAATAAATCACATTAACAGAAGCAAAGACAAAAACCACTTGATCATCTCAATAGATGCAGAAAAAGCCTTTGATAAGATCCAATACCATTTTATGATAAAAGCTCTAAGAAAACTAGGAATAGAAGGAAAGTACCTCAACATTATAAAAGCTATATATGACAAACCTACAGCCAGCATTATACTTAACAGAGAAAAACTGAAACCATTCCCTCTAAAATCAGGAACCAGACAAGGATGCCCACTATCTCCACTCCTATTCAACATAGTACTGGAATTCCTAGCCAGAGCAATTAGGCAAGAAGAAGGAATAAAAGGAATACAAATAGGTAAAGAAACTGTCAAAATACCCCTATTTGCAGATGACATGATTCTATACTTTAAAGACCCAAAAAACTCTACTCAAAAGCTCCTAGACACCATCAATAGCTATAGCAAGGTAGCAGGATATAAAACCAACATAGAAAAATCATTAGCATTTCTGTACACTAATAATGAACAAACTGACAAAGAATATATGAAAACAATTCCATTTACAATAGCCTCAAAAAAATCAAATATCTAGGTGTAAACCTAACAAAAGATGTGAAAGACCTCTACAAGGAAAACTATACACTTCTGAAGAAAGAGATTGAGGAAGACTATAGAAAGTGGAGAGATCTCCCATGCTCATGGATTGGTAGAATCAACATAGTAAAAATGTCTATACTACCAAAAGTAATTTACATGTTTAATGCAATTCCCATCAAATTTCAATGACATTCATTAAAGAGATTGAAAAATCTACCATTAAATTTATATGGAAACACAAGAGGCCACGAACAGCCAAGGCAATACTCAGTCAAAAGAACAATGCTGGAGGTATCACAATACCTGACTTCAAACTATATTACAAAGCAGTAACAATAAAAACAGCATAGTACTGGCACAAAAACAAACATGAAGACCAGTGGAACAGAATAGAGGACCCAGATATGAAGCCACACAACTATAACCAACTTGTCTTTGACAAAGGCACTAAAAATATACAATGGAGAAATAGCAGCCTCTTCAACAAAAACTGCTAGGAAAACTGGTTAAGCAGTCTGCAAAAAACTGAACCTAGATCCATGTATATCACCCTATACCAATATTAGCCAAAATGGATCAAGGATCTTAATATCAGACCACAAACACTAAAGTTGGTACAGGAAAGAGTAGGAAATACTCTGGAATTAATAGGTATAGGCAAGAACTTTCTCAATGGAACCCCAGCAGTACAGCAACTAAGAGATAGCATAGATAAATGGGACTTCATAAAACTTAAAAGCTTCTGCTCAACAAAAGAAATGGTCTCTAAACTGAAGAGACCACCCTCAGAGTGGGAGAAAATATTTGCCAGTTATACATCAAAGGACTGATAACCAGAATATATAGGGAACTCAAAAAACTAAATTCTCCCAAAATTAATGAACCAATAAAGAAATGGGCAAGTGAACTAAACAGAACTTTCTCAAAAGAAGAAATTCAAATGGCCAAAAAACACATGAAAAAATGCTCACCATCTCAAGCAATAAAGGAAATGCAAATTAAAACCACACTAAGATTCTACTTCACCCCTGTTAGAATAGCCATCATTAGCAACACCACTAACAACAGGTGTTGGCGAGGATGCAGGGAAAAAGGAACCCTCTTACACTGTTGGTGGGAATGTAAACTAGTACAACCACTCTGGAAAAAAATCTGGAGACTACTTAAAAAGCTAAACATTGATCTACCATATGATCCAGCAATACCACTCTTGGGGATATACCCAAAAGACTGTGACTAGGTTACTCCAGAGGCACCTGCACACCCATGTTTATTGCAGCACTATTCACAATAGCCAAGTTATGGAAACAGCCAAGATGCCCCACTACTGACAAATGGATTAAGAAAATGTGGTATTCCAAAAATCTGTGACACAGGTTACTCCAGAGGCACCTGCACACCCATGTTTATTGCGGCACTATTCACAATAGCCAAGTTATGGAAACAGCCAAGATGCCCCACCACTGACAAATGGATTAAGAAAATGTGGTATCTATACACAATGGAATTTTATGCAGCCATGAAGAAGAATGAAATGTTATCATTCACTGGTAAATGGATGGAATTGGAGAATATCATTCTGAGTGAGGTTAGCCTGGCCCAAAAGACCAAAAATCATTATGCTCTCCCTCATATGTGGACATTAGATCAAGGGCAAACACAACAATGGGATTGAACTTTAAGCACATGATAAAAGCGAGAGCACACAAGGGAGGGGTGAGGATAGGTAAGACACCTAAGAAACTAGATAGCATTTGTTGCCCTCAACGCAGAGAAACTAAAGCAGGTACCTTAAAAGCAACTGAGGCCAATAGGAGAAGGGGACCAGGAACTAGAGAAAAGGTTAGCTCAAGAAGAATTAACTTAGAAGGTAACACACATGCACCGGAAATCAATGCAAGTCAACTCCCTGACTCAACTAGCAAAAATCCTTGTTCCTTCCCATTATTGAGTATACTCTGTCTTCAACAAAATTAGAAATCATGGCAAATAGTTTCTGCCGGGTACTGAGGGGGTAGGGGAGAAGGGGGGGGTAAAGGAGGAGGGGGGTAAAGGAGTGGGAGAAATAATCCAAACATTGTATGCACATATGAATAAAATAAAAATTAAAAAATATATATATACCTCCTTTAGATACTGATTCAAACAAATTATAAATATATGTATTATGTTTATATATATTTATAGGTATATAGATAGACAGGTAAGGGGAGACAAAGAAGGGGGAGGAGAAGGAGAGAGAGAGGGAGAGAATCAAGGGAATTTACCAACTGATACTTAGGGCTGGCAGCATAGCTCAAATGGTAAAGCATTTGCCTAGGAAGCATGAAGTCCCAGTACCACAGAAAATTTTAAAGAAAAAGAAATTACAAAAGAAAGCTATCTTCCACAACCCTTCCATTAAGAGATGACAACCATGACGTCTATGTCTTCCCAGGACCAACTGAATATTAAAGTTATTACAGAATTATTGTTAAATGTTTTTAGGTTTAATGATGGCATGACAGTAACATTTTCAAGAAAGAATACTTATTTATCTTTTAGAGATACATATACATAATCATTTACAAATTGAATAAACTAATCAAACACATAATGCAAACCGTGTTACTTTGTAACTTGATGGAGATGAGCACATACGACTAGCAATTACACTCATCAATGTTTCTCAAGTCAAATCTCTGATAAAGGTTAATTATAAGGAACGCCAACTCAGCAGCAAAATGTTGAAAATGAACAAGCAGCTTTCACAGACATTTCTTCAAAGAAGACATACAGAAGACCAACAAGTATCAAAAAAATGCTCAATATCACTAACGATCAAGAATGAAAATGAAAATTATATTATGTTTTATCTTACATTTGTTAGGACAGCTATTATTTTAAAACTTGTGTTTTTTAAGAAATTGGAACGCTTGTGCATTATTATTGGGAATGCAAAATAGTGCAGATGCTATGGAAAATAATAGAACTATCATATGATCTCAGTGTATATCCAAAAAAATGAAATCAGGATCTCGAAGAAATATCTCCACTCCCATGTTCACTGCAGTATTACTCACAAAAGCTAACACATGGAAACAACCTTAGTGTCCACTGACAGATGAATGAATATTATTCAGCCTTTAAAAAAAAGAAATTCTGCCATTTGTGATAATATGAATGAATCTGGATGACATTATTCTAAGTGAAATAAGCCAGACAGACAGAACAAATACCGTACAACTCCATTTTTATGATGGTCAAACTCACAGAAGCAGAAAATACAAGAGTGATTGTCAGGGGATGGGGTATAGGGGTAGGGAAAGTGGGGAACTGTAGTTCTTCAATAAATATAAAGTATCAGCTCTGCTAGATGAATAAATTTCTAGAGCTTTTCTGTATAAGAATGCCTATAGTTAACAGCACAGTATTGTGTACTTCGACATTTGTTAATAGGGTAAATCCCATATTACCCTATTCATACACACACACACACACACACACACACACACACACACAAGAACTCAAGGAAACTAGGAAGTGTTGAATATGTCTATAACCTTGATGGTGGTATCATGAATATTTATATATTCCAAATCCATCAAATTGCACAAATTAAGTAATTAAATATGAGTAGTTCTTTGTGTATCAACTTTATCTCAGTGAAGGTGTTTTCTAAAAGGACTAGCATTATAGGAACTCAGGTAGGAAAAGGCACGAGAAAATCATGGAAGGCAATTCTCTTACCTTTGCTGATTTCTAAGAGAAGAACCTGCTTATAAAAGTATAATCACCACTCTACAACTCAGCAATCACACTCCTGGGCATTTATCCCAAAGAAATGAAAATTTATGTTCATATAAAAACTTGTCCACAAATGTTTATAGTAGCTTTATTCTTAACAGTCCCAACCTGGAAACAACCCAGATACTCTTCAATGGGTGATGGGTTAAACAAACTGGTTGTTATAGACTGTATTGTGTCTTCCTCAACATTCAGATGCTGAATTCCTAAACTCCAATGTGACTATATTTGGAGACAGGGCCTGTATAGAAATAACAATGGTTAAATGGTGCCATGGTGTGGGGAGAGGGGCATGATCCAATAGGATTGAAGAGGAAGACATATCAGAGATGTCTCTCCACAAGGGCATAGAGGAAAGGCCGTGTGTGACACAGCAAAAAGGCAGCCATCTACAAGCCAGGAAGAAAGGCCACCAAAAACCAATACCGATGGCACATTGATCTTGGGCTTTTAGCCTCTAGAATGGTGAGAAAATAAATTTATGTTATTGAAGTCACTCAGCCTTGCGTACTTTGATACAGCAACTCCAGCAGACTAACACAGTAGTAAATCCACACCACGGCATACTACTCAGCAATAAAAAGTAATGAATTATTGGTATACTCAACTTGGATGAATCTCCAGGCTTAGTGAAAAAAATCAACCCAAAAGGTTACATGCTGCATGACAGCACTTATATGACATTTTTAAGATGACAACATTACAATGATGTCCAATAGAAGAGTGGTTTGTCAAGGACTAAGAAAGGGTTGAGGGGGGTAGAAAGTGAGTGTGGCTATAAAAGGGCAAGTGGGAGACCATTGTGGTGATGGAATTGTTCTGTTTCTTGACTGCATCAATGTTGGTACCCTGCTTTAGCTACTGCACTCTAAGTCTGCCAGACATTACCATGGGAGGAAACCAGGAAAAGAACACGCGGGGTCTATTTTAATAAGTGCATGTAAGTCTACAATTATCTCAAAATAAAAAGTTAATTTTTTAAAGAAAATGTATAATCAACTCTAAGCCACAGGAAGCTATTAGCTTCACTGAGCTCTTCCTCACCTTGTCTCATCCCAAGCGGACTCACACAGCAGAGCCTCAGCTGTCACAGCCAACTAGTGCTGACTGGGCAGCAGCCCAAGAGGAGTAAGCAGAAAACTGAGAGGGTAGACATCAAAAGGGCAGTGAAACCCACCCCTAGGCTATAAATTCTCTTTCCCTATAGTCTCTCTCCTCTAAATATGCTCTAGTTAATCACTATCTCTCTTGTAAAGGAACCATATCTGTGTTGATCATTTTCTAGACTTCAGAACACTCAGGGCAGGGCCTGAGTCCTATTCACCTTAATGCCCAGGAACTAAGCACCAATCTATTTGCCACTTGCCCTACTACCTCACACAAATCCTAGCGGTTCCATCAGCACAGAAGACAGCTCACTTGATGTTGCCAAATTAATTAACATTAAAATCTACTAGGAAGGCAGTTCAGTTCCTAATAATAAGCTGAAAATGGAAATCCAAACCACCCCAGATTCTGATCCCAGCTCCACCTCTTACTGCCTCACTCCCCGCATAACCTATACAGATGCTTTAACAAACTCTCTGGACCTCAGTTTCGTGCCATCACTTCTTGGCTGTGAGAGAATTAAATGACAGAATCAAAGCAGGAAAGTCTAGCCCCATGTCTAGAACAAAAAGACTAGAGAAGGTCGTTTCCCACAGTGTTTCTCTCCTAAGCTCAGGTTCTCCTTATGATGTGCCCATTTAGAAAATAAAAGCCAAAGACCACCTGTAGCAGCTAATGCATGCCTCAGGCCAGCAGCGATGCAAACAATCTTCTCTCTCAGAAGCTGTCAAAAGAAGGAAAAGGATTTAGATCTCAGAATCACCCATTACAAAACTTTATGTAATTTATACTCAAATACAATATGGCATGGTCCTTAACATGTGTTTGACTGGTTTAAAGCACACCCCCATTTTCACACATAAAAACCTCTATATTTATTCCTAGAAAGAAAAGGACATCTTTAAAATACCAAAGAATACCATAGCATACTGCCTCAGGGCCAGGAGGGACCTTCAAGGTCATCCAGTCCAGCGGCTAGTAAATGTTTTGTAAAATTGGCCAGAGAGTAAATATTTTCAACTTTTACAGTATGGTTCCTGTCATACAATTCAGCTCTGTCACTGAAACATAAAACAACTATAGAATATGCATAAATGAATGAGCATGGCTGTGTTCCAATTAAACCTATTTACCAGAGGCTCTAGTTTTCCTGCTCTTGATCGAGTCCAAAACCAAAGGAATGCTAGAAACTCCTCCACAATATTCCACCAAGTGGTCATTCAACCCCTGCCCAACACCAACCTCCAGTGGCACAGGACTCACCGCCTCCCCAGGTACCTGTTCCATCTTTGCACAGTTCCATTTATCTCTATCTGCTTGTAGCTTTTGACAATGCTTTCCAAATATTTGAAGACAGTTGTCATGTCCTCTCTAAGACATCTTGCAGTAGTTTTAAAAATAGGTCCTCAAATTTTTTGATACTATTCCCTCCAAGATGTAGAGCTTAATTCCCCTCCCCTGTGTGGGCTGGACTTAGTGACACACTTCTCATGAAAAGAATAAGGAAGCAACGAGTGACTCAGAGGTGATAAGAGGCACTGAGGCTTACTGCTTGGCATCTCCCTCTCTCAAATCACTCTTAGGGAAAGCCAGGTGCCATATCTATAGAGTCCTACAGAAAAGCCAGCATGACAAGGAACTGAAGCCTCCTGCTGGACAGCCATGAGACAGCACTTAAAAATGACTGCAGTCAGTCAAGCCTGCAGAGGTTGCATGCAGACACAGCTGACGTCTTTACTGCCACCTCAGGAAAAATCAGCTCAGTGGTTTGATTCTTAACCCTCAGAAATCATGGGAGGTTTCTTGTTTAAGCTGCTAGGTTGGAGTTATTTGTTACACAGAAATAGATAACTAATGGAAACCTCTTTTGGCAACTATCTCTAGTCCCATTAGCCATCATGGGGTTTCAAATTCTCTCTCCCTCCTTGTTTCCCTCCTCTGAACATGTTCTGGTAACTCAATCTCGCTTTTAAAGAAACCATTTATTCATCAACCACTGCCCCTATGGATGGGGCTTTATTGTCTTTGTTTATTTATAAGCCCACAGTGTCTGTCTAAATTTTAGGACTGTCAAGGGCAAGTCTGAGTCTTTACTTTTATTATGCCCAGGGCCTAGGCACCAACCCACAAAGAACACAACACCCCAGAGGCAGTATGGCCTGCACAGAAGACAGAGCTATGACCTCCCTTCTGGAGACTATACTTCTCTCAGTGGAGTCCCCAGTCACATAACCCCTGGAGAGATCAAAGCTTATGGCTAATACAGTTTGGACACATTGTCCTTTAGCTTTTCCTTCCTTCCTTCTGTGCTTCCTTCCTTCCTCCCTTTCTGCCTTTTCTAAAACTAACCAAAGAGATTTACACATGGACTCAGCCTCTTGAACACACTCTTCTCTATCTCCCTTTCCACACCCACTGCCACTGCTTTAGTGTGGGCCATGACCACCTCTCGTCTGGATTGTTAGCAAGACTTTCCTAAGTAATCACCTTCAATCATCCTCCAACTACCCTCCCTGGCCCCTCCCAAACATGCTGTTCTTACTGTCTGTCATATACTACCACCCTGATTACCCACCCCACCCACTCCACCCTGGAACTGCCAACCTCTTTGTTACCATAGAAACTGCTAAGGTATCCCAAACCCTCCTGGTTTACACTTCTATACCTTTGCTTACAACTCTTCCTTTGGCCCAGAATGTTTTTGTGCAGTAACTCTGCATCCTCCTATATCAAGTCTGGCAAATTTCTACTAGCTTTAAGACTTAGCTTAAGACTTCTACTAGATAAGAGTTCGATCCTCACCTTGTGGAACTATACAGGCATCTATCAAAATTCTAACATGATATTACATTTCACTATTTATTTATCTATCATGTGCTACTAAACTATAAGAATCTCAAATGCTAACTAAGACAGCTCTCATTCACCTGTGCCCCCACTGCCTACACATACAATAGCCACTGTTAAATAAATGAATAAGGGTCTATTATATTTCACTTTGGCACATTTCTCCCATTGTTACATAGGATAGATACAACCTGTCAAAATGTTTTTACTTACCTACTCTGTTATCCAACATATTTTAACCTTGTTCCTTTGTCTTCTTTAATTATATGAATTATAATTAAGCTAAATTAATTTTAACTTATATATAGGTTCTTACAAAGCCACCTATTTGCAACTGGGAGTTATAACATTTCCTATGGCAGGAACTTAAGAGCTCTGTAGAGCCTAGACTTGTCTGTAAACCCTAGGAACAATTACACATAGAGCAGAAACTGAACTATGCAAAATGACAGGAGCCGACCCAAACTCTTTCCAAAGAAAACAGACCTCCCACTCTTAACCAGAGTTTAGGAAAATTAGACAGCTTAAATGATGAAACTGACTTAGACTTCAGCATATCTCTTTTAAAATTCCAAAACCTATTGTGAACACTTACAGTATTAGCCTCACGTAAGTATGACATAAGATGAAGAGAAGAATTCTGAACTAGAGCAAAGAGTCCTGCTCACACTTGTGCTATCAAAGATGATGGCCACTAGCTACATGTGGCCACTGAAAACTTGAAATGTGATTACACGGAACACATACATACCACCAATAAAAAATGTACACCAGAGTTCAAGTTTTAGTACAAAATAAAGAATATGAAATATTAATAAATGTTATCCTGGTGACATGTTGAAATGATAATAGTATGATATATTAAATTAGTTTAAAAGTTATTAAAATTACTTTCACCTAGAAAGTAATATTAGAACATGCTAGAACATGGATAAAACTTGAAACTATCACATGAAGAGAAAGAAGCCAGACACAAAAGGTCACATTACATGACTTCATTTATATGAAATGTCCAGAATAAGTAATCCATAGAGAAAAAAAAGTATGTGGGAGACTGAGGCAGTGGAAGAAAGCCTTGACATGAGCACGGCTATGTCAAGGGCCTCTTGGCTGATAGGCACAGACACAGCCAAGGGGAAGCAAGGTTTAGCAAGGCTGCCTTGCAAGAAAAACAGGACCTGGTCAAGATAGTCTGTACTAAATAACAACATACCACAGCTTCTCTGTTCCTGCCGCCTATGCAACTGGACCCATGAGAACTTAACCTGCATTTCATCCCACTTCCTCATACATGCTATATAAATAAGCACACCTGGAGGCAGGGGGGGTTGCCGGCATCTCTCATCAGGAGTGTAGGACCCACCTGATCCCAGATTTTCTCTATGTCTGTCTTTTTCTTAATCCTCAGTCACCCCAGTCAGGTCAATGGACCTACTCACACTGGCCTTGAGAAAAGTAAACTAGTAGTCACCAAGGGCTGGAGGAGGACAGAATGGGAAGTGCCTGCTATTAGCTATACAGTTTCTAAAATGTTCTAAAATTTGGTAATGGTGATAGCTGCTCATCTCTGTGAAAAGATACTTTGAAAATATTGAATTGCATATCTCAAAGGGGCTAATTTGATGGTATATAAAATCTCCATGAAACTGTTACTTAAAAAGTTAATTTTACCAGTTTACTTTTTAAAGTGGGGTTACTAGAAAATTTTCAATCACATATCTCACATTATAATTCTATTAGACAGACTGGCCTAGACTACTTGCCTCACTTAGTATCTTTTTTTTTTTTTTTTTGAGGTACCAGGGCTTGAACTCAGGGCCTACACCTTGAGCCACTCCACCAGCTCTTTTTTTAATATATCTGTATATTAGGTGTTTTCAAGATAGGGTCTCACAAACTATTTGCCCAGGCTGGCTTCAAACCATGATCTTCCTAATCTCTGCCTCCTGAATAGCTAAGATTACAGGTATGAGCCACCTGCGCCCAGCTCACTTCCAACCTTTAAGCAAAGATATACTTCCACTTGGACCAGTTTCTAACATAGTTCCCATTATTACTAATTTTAGAATTGGAAAATGTCATTGATGTACTTACCTTTATTGTTTTAGTTTACAAAAGTTATAATGTATGAAAACTAACAGAAGTTTATCATTTATAACATCACCACCCCAAACTAATTTTTCCCATAAAGACTTATTTTGCAACTCAAATTCTGATACATCATAGGTTTTCAGGGACCTAGCCAGCCTTCCATTAAGGGTTGGAATAACTGGAATAGTCTGGAAACACTAATACTAATATTGATGTCCTCACCTCAATGACTTGGGGAACCACACATCTTCGAAGCCCGTGAAGAACTCCTAACTGGCCAAAAGAGTTGGATCCACATGATAGAACTTGACCTTCTTCTGCAAAATACAAGTACTTAGATTGCAAATCTAAGAAACAAGACATCTGTAGCCAATGGGTAAATGCCTAGGGTTAAGAGGCACAAAGGGAATAAGATGGGTGGATGGTAGAGACGCTGGGTTTCAGTGCTTCAAGACCATGTTCCCTTCTTTATTCCTCTAGGAATAAAAACACTGGGTACCAAGCTGTGTTCTACATAATTATCTACTATTGTGTATCACAAATGGCAGATTATCTGTGCAGAACACTAAACCTGGTATCTAATATTGGGAGAAAAGGATACTTATTTCCAACTGCTCACATTTCCATGTGACAAAATTTCCATTATTGTAATACTCCAGGTATTTCTTCCTGTCCTTCCCCATACTCACCACTTGTCTAGAATATAAGGGGTCACATACCCAACTGGCTAGTTTAGGAAAAGGGACAAGCTACACATGGCTTGGCAACTTCCTCTCAGGCATTCTGTGCTGACACACAGGAAAGGTTTCCAGTACAGGATGGATATAGAGTGTAAAGCTTAAATTTGAACCAGAGGGGTGTCAGAACCACTTGGCCTCACCACTAACCCTCTTAACTTTAGCTTTAAACTCAGCCTTTATCAGTAAAAAGTTGACAGTCTGATCTCCAACTCTGACTGCCTGTGCCCTTCTCGTAATTGGTTCCAAATGTACCCAGCAAAGAGTGTTATCTAACTCCCCACAACCCTAACACAGGCCACAATACGCACTTTTAAATGATAGCTACTGTTTAAACTCTACATTTACGAAGATTTTTTTTTCTTGCAATGCTGATATAACACGGGACCTTTGAATACTAGCCAAGCACTATAACCACTGGGCTATCCCCATCCCTATTTAGATTCTAATAATTACTATTAAATACATATTATGGATCCCATCTGTGGAAGAGAAAAGGTGATACCCAGGCAGTTTTAAAGATGGGATACTAGATTATAAGACAAAAGGGACTATTCCAAACAGAGAGAAGACCATTATTTATACTAAAAAGGAAAGTATAGGGAATGTGAAGGATAAGAGGCAAGATAGAGAGATAGGTGGGGAACATCTTAGAAGGCCATAGGCTAAAAAGCTTGGGATTTTTGCTATACATGTGAGAATCCACAAGGGTTTGAGGAGAATGACATGGTCAGAAGATGCCTATGCCAGATCACTATAGCAAAGAAGAAGCACCATCAGAAACTATAGATGGTCCTTCAAATCTAGCATGGCCAGCTAGAAAGAGTCAACCAACAAAGAAGTCAAACTGCTTCAAAGGAGAAGTCAGCTGACAAAGTAACTACTGCCAGCTGTTCCCAAGAGCACTGTTGTATTAACTCTTTGACTATATCACTGTACATCCTATTCTGTTATCTACCTTCACAGAAAACAAACATATATGTATATATGTGTGTGCATGTATTTATATATGTACATATATATATTATAGAAGGCCATGTGCTAATACATATGTATTTTATATATTAAGAGGAGCTAGGGGATGTAACTTAGTGGAAGAACGCTTTTCTAGTATGTATAAGACCCTCGGTATAATCCTTCACACTGGAAAAGAAAAAAGAAAAAGTCCCCAAATGGAAAAAAAGCTGCCCTCACTGCTGTGGCACCTCTACTTCCTCATACTTTCTAGCATGTTCCCCTGTAGTAACCCTTAACTGGTACTCCTGACCAGCTAGACCAGACACAAAGCTATCATGAACATTGGGACAGGAAGTAGCCACCAAAGGTGATCTAGTCTATTCCCTAGTCTCTAGCAAGTTTTCCAACCCAATTCCAATTCCAATTTTATAGTTAAAATTCTCCTTCTGCTAAGCATGGTATGGCACATACCAATAATCCCAGCATTTGGGAGGCTGAGGCAGGAGGACTGCAAGTTTGAGACCATGGGTTACACAGCAAGACCCACTGCAACTTTCTTTGATGACCAGAGAGAACATTCATTCATGTGTATTTTCTAAACACAAACAGGCTTTCATTTAACCAGGAGTCACCAACATCGTGTTGTTCTTACCCCAAACTTCTGTAGCGATAAAGATTTACCTAGAAGTGAACTAACCTGTGAGCATAATAGTAAAATCCCAGCCACAGGCCACCTGTTGGATAGGACAACCAAGGAGAGATTTGCAGGGGGTAAAATACAGAACATCTTCTGTGTGACCAAGCCCCAGTTGCCCATCTTTGTTAAGGCCACAAACAAAAAGGGCTCCTCCATCTGCAAAATATAAAGGGAAAATCACAACTACCAAAGTGAATGAAAGGACATCACTAATTATTTGAAGTCACAGATAAATAACTTTTTCTCACCCCAGTTAATGTTAATAACTCATGCATGTTAATGTGTCCTGAAGCCAAATGGACAAATCTAACATCTAAATGGAAACCCCACATCCTGGGGCAGGGTCAATCAATCACCAAATGGAGCATTTACAATAACAAGAAAGTCAATATTTATTCAACACTTAGAATGTGCCAGGTACTATTCTAAGAGCTTTACATGTGAGACTGACTGATACTTTAGGCATGGTGTTTAGGACCCACAATACTTTTAGAGGCCCATAAAAATGACTTAGTTTAAAATTCTTTTAAAGTGAGAAAACTAGTATAATAATACACACATAATACTAAATTCATCCTGGGGTATATTCATCTTTCTATTAATACAGTTGTTAAGATATAATTTTTAACATTTCTTTACAGAGGAAAGAATTCATGAAGATAAAAATACCAAGGACCCATGAAAGTCCTAATGGAGCCCTGTTAACTCCCTGATTCTCCTCATCCACCATTATTATCCTCACAAAACAGGTGAGGAAACTAGCACAAAAAGATTATTTGCCCAAGGCCACATAGCTAAAAATTACAGAACCAGGATTTGAACCCAGGGAGTTTGATTCCACAGCTCACATTCTTAATGCCCTCCTCTATAAATACCCTAGCATGTATAGTTCTTGTGTACTATCCTAAATACTCGGAGAAGATCAAGGAAAATACAAGGTTCTTGTTCTCAAGGAATATTCAATTTAATTGCAAAGACTTCTAATTCATATGTAAAAGTTAAATAGCAATATACAGTATAAAATATGATCTATATTGTCACTGTGCCACTAATTTTCCTTGTGACCTGAAGTGCTCAGTGTTCCTCTCCGAGCCTCATTTGTATAATGTGGGAGGTTCAGGATGGCCTAGAAGACCTCTGACAATCTAGGATTCTCTAATGGCAATTTGGCTCTTTCACAAAAATGTTCTCTTCTGAGAAATACAAAAGGCTAAAAGACAGCAATATAACATCCTAGGGGAAAATGTCTCCATAAGAAAACAAGTGGCTATCTACTTTTGAAGGAAATTACCTGTGACAACTGCAGAGTGGCCTCCTCCTCCCGTGATTCTCTTGATACACCCAGGATTACAGAAGTCATTCAGTGGCTGGGGCAAAAGCACATCTTCCTTATGACCAAGGCCAAGTTGCCCATAGCTATTTGCACCCTAGAGATAAAACAAGTCAAGGATGAAAAAATGTGAGAACCACAACCATCAATGTCTCCAATCTCCCTCACCCTGACATTCTTCTCAGAGCCTACAACAGAGGAGATTTTAGACTTATTCTTTCTCCCCCCAATAACATGCCTGCTTTCTGCAGATTTTTAATTACCTTATATTCATTGTACAAAGCGAGGGGTTTCAATGCAGCATCTCCACACATGTACATAACATTTCCTTAGGGAGGCTAAGGAAAGAAAAATGAAGGAGAAATGGGAACAAAGTGGGAGGAAACACTGGAACTAGTTCTTTTCCCTTCTCCCTACATCCTCATTGGGAAAACTGGCCACAACTCTCTGTAATCAAAGTTCGCTAAGGATTTTGTGTCTTCACACAATGAAAGAGGTTAGTGGTGATCTCTACAAGTCTTTCCAAGAACAATGTTTTGTGACTCCAACATTCAGATCTCCCCTTGGTAGGCAATATGCTACTTTGCTATAATACAATAAAAGTCCATAATATGAGTCTGAGGGTATAGCTGAGTGGTAGAGCGCTTGCATACACGTGCAAGGCCCTGGTTCAATCCCCAGTAAGTTGGTTCTTCCTAGAGAAGCAAAGCCTTTGAAAACCTGTTTTTCAGGACACCTGAATGAGGAAAGTGATTTAAAATAACTACAAAACATACATACTTTTAACAAACAAAATCCTCCCTCCTGTAGTCTATTTCATGGAGCCTTCCTGGGCTGCAAGGACTCCGAGGATGGAGTAAAACATGAACATTCTGAGGGTCACACTGAACACCAATTTTTGTAATGCAGTAGGAGATTCTAAGTCCAGGATAAAGCAAAATAAAGTAAAATGTAATGCAACCTATTATAACTGTATTTGCCTCCCTTCTTTACAAACACTACAGACACATCACACATCATACACACACACACACACACACACACACACACACACACACACACAACACCCCTAGTGAATGGACTGAACCATGATCTCCAAAATTCATATATTGAGGCCCTAACCTTGGATACTTCAGAATATCACTATATTTAAAGACCTAATCTTTAAAGAGGTAATTAAGATTAAATGATGAGTTCATAAGAGAGGGGCGGGGGGCGGCTAATCCACTAGAAGAGACACCATAGATGCTCACACACAAAGAACTAGCCATCTGAGGCCTCAAAGAAACCAAAACTACTGAAACCTTAATCTTTGGCTTGTAGCCTAAGAACTGTGAAAAAAATTAATTTCTATTGTTAAGCCCCTGGTCTGTGGTGTTTTGTTATGGCAGCCCAAGCAGACTAATATGCAGCAGAAAACATATCAGGGAGCCTCCAAGCACAGTAGGAGGGTGAAATTCAACAAACTTCTGTTTCGGTATATTCCAAGTGACATCTGAAAGGCTTTATCTGTTTATTCCAGGCCACATCTGAAAGACTTTTTCTGTCAGACGTTTCCTCTGTCCACACAGACTTGTCTCCTGGCTGAAAAATCCAGAGACAGCTCACATTCAACCTCCAGCTCAAGTGCCACCCCAAAGCACTCAGCCAGACCATACCATACCCTCCCTTCAGCCAAACTGATGCCTTACACTCAACAAGTGCAAGGCATGTACTAATCATTACTTTTAAAAAAACAGTAAATGTTTATTTTGACAGCAATTACAGGTGTTCTCTCTCTTCCCCGCCCTCCCCGCCCCCAACAATGGAAGTCTTCCACGGCACACTAGCACACAGATATTCATTCATTCATTCTTTAGTCAACGCTGGAGATCTACATGGTACCAGGCACCAATAGCAACAATGTGAACAAATCAGGCTCAGTACCTACCCTTACGACGCTTACGTTGTAGCCAAGGAGACTGACATTAACAAATTACACATGCCATTACAATTGTGTACCTGCTATGAAGAACCACAAAACCCAACGTCTGCTTGCTCCGATGCATGCCTGTCACACACTCCTGTGCACAACGCCCCTCTTTCCCAGCCACAAGTAAAGATAACCCTGTCTCTCTCAAGAGTCACATCAAAGCCACACCACCCCATACTCCCACGCCCCCAGTCCAGGCAAGATCCGGTCACCGCACAGGATCAGCAAATATGCAGGGTCTGCGTCTCGCCCGCGGTCACACAGCGCAGGCCTCACTTCCAAAGGATGCTCCCAGAACGGTCTGGCGCTGGGGCAGGGCCTCCATCCTCCAGGCAACGGGAGGTGGGGGCACAGGTGGCTCTGGGACCCTGCGATCCTCTCTCTACCAAGCTCTCCACGCTCTCTTCCCAGGCACGCTCCGGAAGAAGGGCTCCCGCAAAGCCTCAGCCCCTCCGGTCGCGATCCCACCGACCCCCTAAATCACCCAGTGAAGACCCTTCCTCCACCCCCTCTCCTGCTCAGCCCTGGCCCAGAATCCTCCAACCCAAAGCCAGGCTCGGCCCTCGGCCACCCAGCCCCGAGCTGCCCACGCCAAGGCCGGGAGCTCCCGGGTCTCTGCACCCCCAAGTCCCGGTCCCGGCCCGGGGGCGGAGCCACGCACCCAAGAGAAGAGGGCGGCCGCGGCGGGGATGGGGGCTGCTGCCGAGGCGCACGGCTGGCGCTCCATGCAGGCACGCTCCGCCGTCGCTTCCGGGAGGGGCTGGCGAGGGGCGGAGTCCGGCGGGGCGGGGCGGGGCTGGTGACGGGGAGGGGAGGGGCGGGGCGGGGCTGGTGACGGCGAGGGGCGGGGCGGGGTCTGTGGCTGGGTGGGGCTCGCCGGGAAGGGCTGGCTGGCGATGCAAGTGCAGTGGCCGCGTTCTGGTGCTGCACAGCCAGGTTGTGGCCCCGGAGCCACCTTGCAACTGGTGTGCGCCGGTAGCGGTCACTCGTCCCCGCCCTGGCCTCTCCTAGGGCACCAGGCCACTGGTCCTCTCTACTTGCCCTCGCATTCTATTTTTAGTAATAATTCCTTGCAGGTACACTGCGCTCAATAGTAATCGAAGTTCCTTCACGTTTTTATGTCCTCGGAATCCCACAACAGCAAGAGAGTATCTTAGACCGAACTGTCGTGGCCTGCTTTGGTGGGCGTTTGCGAAACCTAAGGGAGCGTTTTGGTAGACACGTTAGTGTCTTGTGTCACTGGTGTCGCCCTCTGTGTCGCCTGGCACAGAGCGGGAGCTCTCATCTTTAAGATGCTGAACTGAGACGCTGTTTAGCGTCTGCTCCTGCAGGGGCAGCCTCCTTGTCTTCCTCGCTCCTGGCTCGGTACCTGCCCTAATTCTGATCATCCATACTGGATAATTTTCACCCAACAGAGGTTTTCATTAAAAATTGGCTTTCAGATGCAATCATACTACTGGTGGGAGTTAAATAGGTACAATTTTCCAGAAGGGAAATGTGGCAGTGTATACTGGGAATATGGAATTGGGAACTGGAAACAGAGGGTCACATTAAAGATGATAATTCACATTCAGTGGTACTTGGCCACTCTGCTGACACAGGCATCAGATGCTCACCACTCTTTATGCCTGGCAGCCTCTGGGAAAAATCTCAGATGAGCTCCTAACCAGTCCTTTCCTATTCTGCCCCTCACCCACTCCTTGGTGTTTGCCTGCCAGACTATGTGAGGAAGCCCCTGGCTTTTTCCTCTCCAGCCTGTGGCATCTTGAGAACATGGATTATGGTCCTGAGAAAAGTGAAGTTTAGAGAGACAAAGCAGCTCTTCCTTCTCTAGAGACCTCGATGGGCAGAAACTATGCCAGTTTTGTTAGTTTGTTGTTTTTGCTCTTTTAGCCATTCCTTTCAAGCATATGTATAGAGCTGGAAAAATGAGACCTTTCCTTTATGTGTTTTAGCTGAGTCTCCGAGGTGGTAAGTGCCAATAACGCCCACATTATAAAGTAAGGTGGAAGCTGGCCAAAGAAAAACTCGCAAAGCAGCAAGTGTCTAGAAACCAGGGTATGACTTCCAGTCTAAGAAAGGTTGGAGAGGCCGAGAGAATTCTAATGGGTTATTTGGCCACAGTTGTCAATATGGTGTGGTTTCAGCAGGACCACTAAGAAACCAGATTGGGGCCCCAGCAGGGTGCTTGTTGGGTTCATGCAGAGAAATCTAATGGCTCACCGCCACATAGCAGCTCTGATCATTGAACAAGATGCTTTGGGGAGGTTTTCCAAGATTTAATTTCTGAGTATCTCCAAGTGAATGCTTCCTCAGCTTAAGCAGTATGGTCAGGGGATGGTCTTAGATCCTCTCCAAGAGAATGTGGAGAGGTGAAAAGACACCCACAGGAGAGTTGGCCACTAAATTCTCAGAGGCTGATGGAAATGAAGTCAGTAGCCCAGTCAGAGATGCATTTATCAGACATCAAGAGCGCCTAAGAAACCAGGTGGGAAGGTCTTTGAAGATAATGGCAAAAGAGGGAGTTATTGTTAAACAGTCAGCAAGTACAGAAAGCTCTGATGCCATCTCACAACAATATCAGACCAAAACAATTTTTCTACTCCTTACCTCTCCCCCACTACTCCCTGATCCTGGAGGAGTCCAGACATCCCAGTAAGGAGGAAGGAGGAGCAAAGAAATGAAGAAGCTAATGAACTCATTCTAGAGGAGGAAACAGATTCTAACTTAAATCTTGATGTTTTAAATTTTTACAGAGAACTGAACTTTTTTTCGTATGGCTTACGGTCTAATCCAGGCCTTGAAATGCTTAGGCAAATGTTCTACCACTGCGCTGCAGAGAAAGAAGAGAAGAAGAGGGAAAGGAGACATTAGAAAAAGCTAAGGGCTTTTTTTAAATCTATGAGTGAACAATAAAGTCAAGGCAGAGAGCTCAGATTTCATCCAAAGGGGCAAAGAAGAACTATGTACGGTACCAATTTTTAATAGAGTCTGGGAGGATACAATTGTTTTCCAATTTCACTCTTTGTATGCATAGGCATCTGTATTTTAGCTAAACTATAATTATATTGTCTATGTTGTATCCATTGGTACAATTTCTTGGAAATGTTGAGATGTTGCTACTATTTCAACTACATGCATGCTCCTCCCAACCTGGTTGAAGTTCTACAGCAGGGCTAGATTTAAACTATTTGACATGTCACTTTCAGATGCCTTAACCTCCCCCTAAGAAGAAAATAAAAAGTACTTGACTCCTGTTTCTGTACCATACAGGTAAGTAAATTTTTTTCCATTTTATTATTTTATTTGCTCCTCCCAATAAGACTGACACAAGATCATTATTTTGTTGCTGAGAAGACCAAGGCTCAAAGAAATTAAATGATGGAGCACCAAGGTCAAGCAAGGTCAAGTTTCTGCTTTTTGTTTTGTTTTGGTTTGGTTTTTAGTTTTTTTTTGTTTTGGCAGTACTGGGCCTTGCACTTGCTAGGCAGGTACTCTACCACTTGTGCTGTACCCCAGCCCAGGTTTCTGCTTTTGGTAAAGGAAAATTAACTAGCTGATGACCAGTTCTCTCACCAAAAGCAATTAGAAGAGCTGGCAGAAAGTATTTTTAAAATCTGTTTTCAAGTCATTAGAGAGCTCCCAAAGCAGCTGGAACTTGAAGGGCTGAGAGATGCTATTTGGCACTACTTCTCTCCTTGAAGCACTTGCTAATTAGCAAGCCATGTCTTGGAAGCTAAGAATCTAGGCTGAAAACAGCAGCCGAGAAACTGAACAGTAATTTTAGTAATTTTACAGAGTTGGAGGAGGGGCTTAGTGAAAGGAAAGGAAAGGACGAAAACTAGTAGTCCGGGGTCCAGAAGAAGCAGCACCCTGGTTCACACTCAGCTTTCAGTGGGGACCCATAAAGGGCTAAATCCTGAAGGTAGAGGTGAAATGGAAGTAGACCAGTCTAAAGACTAAAGCTCATTTTCTCACTGGCTCTATCCCTATTGGAATAAGATCTTCCCAGGCTACAAGACACACACTGCCTGCTAGAAACAGAAGATTAATTGTCCAGAAGCTATGGGGAATCTCTACTTAGGAGTTATTATACTAACCATTCTTTACATGTAAAAAAGTAAAGTTTCATTTTACAGAGTCCTCTCATGGCATCATTTTTCTCTCATAACCTGATGCAGTAGGCTTACCTTATTTTTCAAATGAGATTGAGGCCTTAACAAGAAATCTGGAAAGTGGCTACTAGAGTCCAGGAATGCTTGGCTCTAGTATAACTCAGAGCCACAGGCTTTTAAAGAAGTATAAAGACATGATGGAGTTTTTAAACTAATAAAATTGCTAATATAGATTTAAATAAGCTTTTAATGTATGCTTGACAAAAAATACTTATTGAGAACATGAATGTTGTAGTCATTTATTACCCAGTTGAATAACAAGCTCGCAAATTATAAATGTATATTTCATGGTAAGACAGAGTACACTTAAATAGACCTCAGTTATCTTTATCCATTATAGACATTAACGTACAGACTCTATTATATAATACTTAAAGAGAATTCCAGGATTTTTTTCTTTCTCAGGTTTGGAAGCCAATAATAATTCTGTATTTTTGCTGTGTTGTAACTGCTTATATAATTTCCAATGACAAATATGAGGCTTAAGAAATCTTATGACCAGCTTTTGTGCTTTCTTCAAAACGTACTGATCAATAATTATGAGCCAAGCTTTCAGTTCAATTCTGTTCTCATGTTTGAGTAGCTATTAACATTACTAGATGTTTCAAAGACATGTATTTAAAACACATGAAAAATTTAAAGCTCTCACGACTTCTGATTTACCAAAGATCACAAGTCCAGAGTTTAAAAGAAAGAACCCAAATCCATTATTAAATATTTCCATAATCCTGAAGTTGTAAATTATAGTGTGCTTAGTAGTGACTTTTAAATACCATCATTTTAAAATTCAATAACTATGGTTCTTCACCATGATCAAAGTTTATGAAAATAACCAGCTAAGTAGACCTAATTTGCTATTTGCTATCTATTATGATTTTCTTACAATAGATTTCCTTGCAACCAAGTAGACTATAAACTAATCAATATTTCAAATGATTTCATTTTAGCTAACAACAGATGTATTTACTATCAAATGTAAAACTGTTACATATTAAAATGTATAAGTGAAATAGCATGAATTACTCTTCCAAATTCTATTTCCTTGTATGACATGAAACAAAATATAGTTTTAAAAGGTTTTTGATAATTTCTTTTGAAGTCTTAAAAGGATTTAAAATATTAGTGGTCTTTTGAAATAAAACATGTTAAATGGTATAGAATTGGATTACTGATGTGAAAAAATAGGGACAGAGTTTTTAAAGTAGCTGATTAAACCTGGAAAACCAGATGAAATATGATGACTTATATAATAGTAACAGAAATCGGATCACTGGAAGAGGAAGCCAGTAGGATGTGCTATTGTGGTGATTCTGAGTCCCTCTTTGGCCTGCTGGACTTAGAATGCTCGGAAGAGCTGTACTATACAGTTGACACCAGTCCTTATAACCCTCACATATTTACAGGATCAGACCTAAACTACTCCTCTTGACCCTTCTGACATTTCATATCCTCTGCCTTTTCTCCACCCTCTACCCTCATTGTTTGGCTTCCGATGTATGGCCTCACTTGATACCTTGGAAATAAAGTGTGCAGAGATGCCTTTCCAACTCTAGTCTTCTGTTTCTCTCATCTGTCTCGGTTTTAACTCTCACCTTGACAACAGTGACTCCTGCCAGCCTGAGGCCAATATCATCATGATACATGCAAGTGGCACCCCTATCAAGTTCCCCCTGACCTCACAAGTAGAACAGATAATCTAAACAAAACCCGCATGATGCAATGTCCTAGAAAGGAAAGAGTTTCAAAGAGGATGGTCATTTGAGATAGGTCTTTCTAGTACCTGCAAAATAAAGTGTGATATTTTTAGCCTCGTCTTAACACTCATACCCCAATCAACCCTTGACTTAGACACTTGAACATACTAGTTTAAGATCACTGTGAGCTCAGCCTCTTGAGTGCTTGGATTACAGGCATGTATCACCACAGCCACTGAGATTTAGCTATCTCTACAACTCTATAAGACACTACACTTGAAACTAGACTACTAACTCTCCACAAGACTGCACCAGCAGCCTCTATCCTCTATCCTTTTGCTCATGCCAGCAGCAGAGACAGCTGGCCTCCTATTAAATTTGGAAATATGACTGTAATTGGGCTTGGCACAAATTTGGTGATAAGTAACAGATACATATATCAAAATGGGTCAGTTCCATAATACCCATGAGGGCATTCTAAGTGACCACAAAGGTCATCAAGAAAGACTGGGTAAATGACTCAGACTGAGGCTAGATCTATCCAGTGAGCCAATTTCCCTATTGAAAACAGGCAGTCAGTGAATTGCATAATATGTAAATTGTATTTCACTAAAGTAGTTACCAAAGAATAAAACAAAACCAAAAAGAGTGGTGTATAGAGTGTCCAGGTATACATTTTCATTAAGGAGTGGAATTAGAGAAGATTGTTTATCTAGAAGTTGCTGTCACTCCATAATCAAGTTTTCACACACACACACACACACATACAATTCTGGAGTTGGCCCACAGGTTCTGAATTGATGCTCAAGTGCTTTCTGAACTAGGACTGGTGACTATCACATACTCAGCTGCCTGCTGACCTTAGCAAGGGCATCACTGACAACATCGAGATCATGCCGCAGCTCGTTCATGGTGCTGATTATGCTCTTGTTGTCTTTCAAGATCTGAACACTCTGCGTGTATGGATTGTACTTCACTCCAAATGTACGCTTAATTGTTTTAGAAAATTCTCTATTTAAGAAAACAAGTAAGAGACTGTCAGTTTCTTGGGAAGGGGTGATGAAAACAAAACAAACACCAGAAGATCTATTTCACATACTAGGAAAAAGATAATTCTTTATTAGATATATGTGCAGCCAATCTGACCTATTTTCCTACCTGCATGTTCAGAGGCTCCTGGAATTCAACAGGTGGAAGTCCAACAGGACAGGCGTGTGTTCTGCATACATCTACCCTAATATTACTAGGGAAAGGTCCTGTAGGTAACTTTATTCATAATTTATTACTTTATATGTTCTCTTGAATTCTTTTTTTTCTTATAATGATGGGAATTGAACTCTAGGCCTCATGCCAGGCATGTGCTCTACCACTGAACTAAAACCCCTAGAACGCTAGCCCATCTTTTGACTAAAGATTCTATCAGTAGGTAATGACAAAAGTTGCCCACATAGTAACAGACTTCTCAACTGTGCCTTATATTACTATATCACTATACCTATAGTAGAGGGAGAGAGAAAGAGAGGGAGCACTCCTAAGGATAAGTGTGCAGCTGAGGATAACTGTACATGAGTAGGGACTGTAATCCAGGTTTCAATCCAACTGGTCTACCCAGAGGGGATCACTTCCAATTTGCACAAAGGTGCCATATGTGCTAGAGAAAGCACTGCTGGCCCAGTATCCCCCCACACACACACACTCTCACACACTCACACACACTCACTCACACACTCTTACACACTCACACACCCTCACACTCTCTCACACACTCGCACACTCTCTCACACACACTCTCACACTCACACACTCTCTCACACTCACACACTCACTCACACTCACACACACACACTCCTCAACTACAGTAAATCCTTGGAAGATAGGACAGGAGTAGGTCTTCAACCTCTACATGTCCCTATCCTCACAATGTGACCCTGTGACCACCTCTACCAAATGTTTTTATTGATTCTGCTTTTGTAGTCCTTCTCTTTCCTACTACCTCTATCTCTTCTTTTCACCTGAAGTTTGCAAAAATCGCCTAAAAAATGTCTCTTCCTCCAATATTCTGCTTTCTTAACCACAACTTAGATGACTAAGGCTGGACATGGTGCCTCATGCCTGTATTCTCAGCTACCCGGGAGGTGGAGAGAGGAGCATTTTGGTTCAAGGCCATCTGGTAGGGAGAAGTTAGCTGGGGGTATAATTTCTCTGTGCATCTGATTCGTATTTGCAACTATCTAACTTCATTATATACAACATACTTCAAACATTTGTTACAAAAGGGGCAAGTGTTAAGGCAGAAGGCTCCTATGGCTGGCTCCTAATTATCTAGCCCCTTACTTTTGTGACTTGTTATTATCATTTGCAGAAGCACATGAAGATATGAAGAAGATATACTTTACCTCATCTTCTCCTTTGCATCATCAAAGCTTTCAGATACAAAATAGACATCCTGAAAAGTTGTGATGAGACATTCTTGTTTGCAGGTAATCTTGGGATCAAAGGGCTTCACTTTGGCATGTCCAGAAAGCACATGCTAGAGGACAAAAAGTCAGCAGATCAGAGAGTACTATCTATTTTCACAGATCACACACAGCTGCCAGAATTGGCACATCTCCGAACTTAATACATATGCAATGGCCCCAACTTACAATTCCAAACTGATTTGCCTCATCTCTATTCAATCCACATTGCACTCCAGCAAAACAAATGGCTTTCTTTTGCCCCTTGAATTCCCCCAAAATCATCCCTATAACTCTATTCTAACTCTTCTTCACGTAGGAGGCACCCAACAATCTTTATTTATTTATTCCTGTGTTACTTTCTACCTGCTACTACTTTTATACATGACTGACATATCTACCACCAGAGGGCAGGCTCCTTGAGAGCAAGACTACCTTGTAGACATCTATCACTCAACAAACAAGTTCACTCATTCCTTGGATAAATAACAAACCTAATTTCCCTGCTCTTGTAGACGTTATTGTTACTATGCCAGAATTGGTGATGGAGCCAAGATTTTGTAATCAAAAGCTTTAAAACACTTTTGGAGGGTGGTAGTGGGGCTTGAACACAGGACTTCATGTTTGCCAAGCAGGTGCTCTGCCCTTGAGACACACCCCCCAGCGCTTTTTGCTTTAGTTATTTTTGAGATAGGGGTTCTTTTTTCTACATGGGCCCAGCTGGGCCACGATCCTACTTACACCTTCCACATAGCTGGGATGATAGGCATGTGCCCTATACCCCGCTCATTGTTTGAGATGAGGTATCACTAACTATTTGACCAGGCTGGCCCTGAATCATGATCCTCCCAATCTCCATCTTCTGAGTAGCTGGGATTACAGGCATGAACCACTGTGCCTGGTTGTAAAACACTTTTTATTTAAAAGATATTATATGGTGGAACACGTCTATAATCCCAGAATTTAGGCAGTACCAGGATTGCAAGTTTGAGGCCATGATTTATTACTTGTACCTAGCATGTTCTAGACCAGTTTGGGTTACATAGTGAGAGCCTATCTCAAAAAACTGAAAATAAATAAATACATAAATGGGCTATTTTATGTATTTTTCCAGAAAAGTTGGGAAATAGAGGAAAATGTCTTCAAATGTTTTCTGCCATCCCAAGTATGTTCCATAGTAAACTCTTGTTCATATTCAAAAACTGTTTCTATTATACCCAATATATATCAATGATACTCAGTGAAAATGGTTATGTGCAAAGATTTACAGCTCTTACTTTGAGCTCGCTGATGGAAGAAAGCAAGCCAGCACCAAAGACTCTCAGCTGCCCATCTTGTTTACACAGACCGAACTCCACTGTGAAGAAGTAGCACTGCAAAAGGACATCAGCGTTACCTCGCATCCTGAATGGCTCAACGTAGAACAAATTTCAATTCAGTCATTGCTCCAAAATACCCCAAAACAAAGCCTAAGACCCACAGCCTGGTTTACTCGTCTTTTCACAATCTGGTCTCATTCTAAACAGATACTTTCCAACCTTGTCTGAAGACTCTTATACATAATTAAGAATTATGGAGGACCCAAAGATCTTTTGTATATATAAGTTATAGGAAGTATATAGCAAGTATATTAAGAGCCATATTTGTAGCCCATTTTAATGAAAATAACTATATTTTACAAAACAAAAAAGTGGGAAAAGTAGACTTGTTTTATATTGTTAGAAATTTTTTTATTTTAATTTTTGACAAATTACAATCATATATAATTATTGGGTATACAGTGCAGAAAAGTTTAATCAAGCTAAGTAACAAAATTGTTACATATCTTTTTAATGTCTGACTAGAAGACAGATGGATTGCTGTGTCTGCTTCTGCATTCAACCTGTTACAATATGTTGTATACGAAAACAATTCAGCTGCACACAGCTCTGTAGTTGGTAAAGGGCTGAGTATTTTAACAGCCTTTTCAACTAATTGGATATCCTTTGAAATACATCAAAACTCAACACATAGTAGTTTCTTAAAGTTCAGCTGCAATGTGGATTTGAACTCTGTCAATGAACTCTCTGCTACATTAAAATGCACTTTGAACTCTGAATGGATCATTTACCTGTGTATGACTTTGAGCTCAAGGACCCTGTGAAAGGCCTCAGAGACCCCCAGGGTCCCCAGACCACAATTTTAAAAGCAGCCTGCCCATTTCACACAACCTCTCCCACCCTCACACACGTTGCTCCAGTTTCCTATCCTTTCCCCAGAAACCAATCACCTCCTTGTCCTTGTCCTTGTCCTCCCGTCCTGAGATGTTCTTCCTTCCTTTTTTGGCACATGAAAACTTCACTCATTTTCATCAGCTAGCCTAGATGTCACTTTTGCATGAACCTTCCCCAAACAGGTCTCCGCCCTCCCAGAGTAGTTTGCCTGAACTTCCCCACAGACTTCACCTCCTCCGAACATGACTGTCTCCTCATGTAGTAGATGTAAGTGGCCTTACTCATCTTTGTATTTCAGAGCAGTCTTGTACCTACTGCTCAAAAATATTTCAGAGTGTTTTTATGGAGCCTATCATTTTTATTGGAAATAAAGGGAATACAAACCAGAAACATTATTCTTTTGTTTCACTACCTTTTTTAAAGCTCATGTCTCCTTTGGAGAACTCTTAAATTTTACTTCAAATTTTCTAGTGTTTGCCTTGAAATGAACATTGAAACTACACACGTAACTCATATACCACCCCCAACGGAGAATTACCAAAGTATACAGTTATTTCCAGACTTATACCGTTGCTAGTTTTTGAACAGCCTCCTCTGAAGCGCCAAGGGAAGCCAGGCCAATTTCTTGGGAGAACTGCGCAAAACTAGGTTCAGCCAAGAGGGGAACATGACCTAGGAGTTCATGGCAGGTATCTCTGAAATAGAGGCACAAGTTTGTCACACAGTAATGTGTAGCATAAGTGGACAGTCAATCACTCAATCTGATAAAAATCCAATGTTACTTTTATTCCAGTTGACCAGACCAAAATGGATCACAAAGAATACTAATTAAATAATTAGTATTCATTACCCACATGTATAAGTGCATATCAGCTATTGGTAGACACCCCATGTCCCCACTTCCACCCAAATCAGGTCTCTACTCAAATGTCACTTTTTCCTCAAAGCCTTCCCTTCAGGAAACAGCAACTCCCCCTACACACACCTCCATCTCCTTGCCCAAATGTTTTTCTCCTTGACATTTGATATAATATGTACTTACATTTATTTGTCTATTTATTATCTATGCCCTACCTCCACCCCAGAATACAAGCTCTATGAAGACAAGAATTTTTGCCTGCTTTTTTAACATTTCCTATGCCTAGAACAGCACCTGGAACCTAACGGGTTGTCAATTAATAATAATGATAATTGTATAGAGCATTATACATATATTATGTGCTAGGCACTATTTACATGTACTAATTCATTAATTACTCCCAAAAAAACAACCCTGGAGTGGATACCATTATTAGAAGTAACCATTTGATGAATGGCGGAAGCAGAGGGACTTACGGCTCTGGGGTGTAGAGGGGATCTGAACTGTGTCTCACGTATTGAGTGCAGTGGAAAACTCGAAAAGCTAACCCTGATAGGAAATCTCTCGGAGATAGGTAACCGGCCACAGGACGGATGGTAAACCCTGTGCGCTCTGCAAAGCAAAGGAGGTAACACTGAAACTTTTCACCTCAGATACAGACCATTGGCTGCAGCGTTTTAATCCTGCCAGTGGCACCAGGCAATGCTTTGAGGGAGGACATGGAAACTAAAATGGATCATACACACCAAGGGAGACTAATAGTTATTAGGCACTTACCATGGCCACGCACTTTTACACACCACATCTGCTTTCGTGTTTACAACGTAAGTTAAAGTTTTTTCTTCCTATGGTGACAGCTATAAAACTGAGGCACAGAGACTCAATAATGTGCTCAAGGACACACAGTAGATGATAAAGGTAGGATAAAAACCTGGGTCTCCTTATACCATACCTTGCCTCCTCCTTAAAGGGTGGAAAATACCCTTACTTTGTCTTTGTAAAAACTAACTCAAAAGATTAGTTACTTGGAATGCAGAGATCAGGAGAGTCACAGTTCAAAGCTGGCCCAGAGCAAATAATTCAAGAGCTATCTCAAAAATAACCAACACAAAAAAGTGCTGGAGGAGTGGATCAAGAGGTAGAGTGTCTGCCTAGCAAGTATGAGGCCCTGAGTTCAAACCCCAGTACCACCCAAACACTCAAGAAAATCAAGTATCAGACCACTTTTCAATATATGCCCTTTTAAGCAGTACTATCTTTTGTATTTCTTGTTTTATCTAACTTGGAGGTGCTCTTCTACCCCACGACTGCCAAGACTACATACATACTATAGAAGGGGCCTGTCACTGGCTTCAGTGGCTTGAGAGACCTCTGTAAGCTCCAGTCTTGTCCTTTCCTGTATAGGAAACTTAAAGAAAGCAATCTCAGCCACAAAACAAAGAAAGTAAACTCTTTGAGTCAAAACATAACTTTTTCCCCTTTTCCAATCTGCTGAGATAAAAGAATATATTTATTTTTCTTAAATATTGTAGACTCCAGAGATCAGTGATCATTTTACTTTCTAGATTAGCTAGATAAAGAGGCCTATACCAAACAAGTTGGAAGAACTAAAAGGAACAAACTAAAATCGTCCTTACCTTTTCTTTATGCTTCTACCATCTCACTTTGTTGCAAAAATAGAATCTTCATGCGATCATCCATGTCACCCTTCCCCAGGATGCCTGAATTCCTCTACCACATGCCTAACAAGCAGGTGGGGAGTTTTTGCACCAACACCTCCGTAGAAGGCAAACTAACCAGCTCATGGGCCTGCTGTGCTTTCAAATGACTCTTCTAACAAGATATTCTCCATTCTGTGTCAGAGGTTTACAGCTTCTATCCAACAGTCCTTTACTTTAGGGTCACACAGTAATTCCTCTATTATATAAGATAGATTTTTAAATAATTGAATACTTAAGTAAGTGTCCCCTAACTCTCCAAGCTAGCCACCCGAAGTGTACTTCAAATTTTACGCATGTAATACATTTTAAATTCCTTTATAATTCTGCTCACTTTGGTCTACTCTTGCCCAGTTACAATCATCCTTCTAAAAAACATAGTGCCCAGTCAATCCAACTCTCTAGGGCAGAATATAGGAAAACCCTGACCTCCCTTGTTACTAGACTTTATCAATCTTTGTCGTCATAATCAAAACAGAGGTCTAGCCAGGTGCCAGTAGTTCAAACCTGTAATCTTAGCTATTCAGGAGGCAGAGATCAGGAGGATCATAATTCGAAGTAAGCCCGGATCAGTTAGTTCACAAGACCCTATCTTGAAAAATCCATCACAAAAAAAGAGCTGGTGGAGTGGCTCAAAGTGTAGGCCCTGAGTTCAAACCCCAGCACCACAAAACAAAACAGAAAGAGGTCTATATAGCTTGTTACCTTTTAAAAAGTTTGAGACATCTTCCAATTGTGGAATATTATCTTCCCGATAGCCACAATATTTAGAAAGCAAAGGTAAGTTTTTGAGATACTCTCTGCAAGCATGGGTGGGATAGAGTTTGTTGAGCTCTCGATAAACAGTTCCCCAGGTCTTAATTTCTTCTTCAGTGAATTCAACCTTAGGAATAGGGTCTCCACTAATGAGATAAAAGAGAGGAGATATTTTGAATTAGTAGTCAGTAGATAGTAGCACTTACTTTACTTTCTTTGTTTGATTTTTGGTTTTGATTCTTTGGCTTCTTTGAGACAGGGTCTCTGTATGCAGCCCAGGGTGCCTGGAAATCACTATGTAGCCCAAGTTGGCCTTAAATTCAAGATCGTCTTGCCTCCAACATCTAAGTGCTAGGATTACAGGCATGCACCACCATGCCTGGCTTATTTTACTTTCTATTTATTAAAAAAACACAATTCACTCCATTCATTTATTTTATTATCTCAAAGTTGGATATGTTATTTTATAATATACTTACTGTTTATAGTTCATAGCCAATTCTGCAAAATACTTTCGTCTTGTACGGTAGACATTGTCTTTGAAACCCTGACAATTAAAGATAAGTTTTTAAATATGTAATAAGTGTCAGAGCCTTAACTATTCAGAGCCTTCAAAATGGCACTGATTATTTTTCTCCTTATTTATATTTTCTTCCTTATAGACCCCAGCTTTCAGAAAAGGAAACACCTGAAGTAATTAAAAATAGTATTTAGAAAATATTACATTCTTACTACTGGAGATACTATATTAAAAGGCAACATAATTGTTACTGTAACCAAACACTGCTTAGAGATTTATGATCATTTTTAATTTGAAGTCAATGTTACACAACAGCTCTATACTCTGGTGTCTACAAAATAAGAGATTCTTTATATACAAAGATACTATAGTGACTACAAAGATAAAATAGTTTGAACAATAGGGAAAGCACCACCCTAGTTTAATACATGGCTCTATTCCAACAGGGTGTTTTTCCCTTAACCATTCAACCACATCTTCAGTTAAATGTACCTGAGGTAGCAATTAATAATAAAATAGTAGCACTGGGATTATAGGTCAGTGATAGAGTTTCTGCCTAGCCTGTTTGAGGCTCTGAGTTTAATCCCCAGTACTGCAAATAATAATAATAAAATAGTAATTAATGATATTTGAAATAGTTACTTAACTGAATCTAGCCTTAGATTCTATCACAAAATTCAAACACATTCATTATTTGCAGAAGTAAGCAATGATAATAATTTTAAAAACCAGACAGAATAGTTCTCTTAGAATTTATACTTATGAAAAATATTTAATAAAAAAGTAGACAAAATAAGGAATCAAAATTCAAAACCCAGGAGGAAATAATGAACAACAGGAAAGAAGGAGGCATCTGAAAAGAGAGAATGGGAGCCATCTTTTTCATATACATTGATAACCTTCGCTGTGCACCAGGCCCTGTGCTAAAATCTGGAGAAATAAAAAGGAAGAAAGCATGATCTGGGAATTCAAGGAGTCTACATGAACCAATTATTATAAAACAATATGGTAAGTATCTTACCAGATTGCACAGATATGCCCAGAATGCCACAGAAACTCAAAAGAGACAATCCTAATCCAGAGAATAAAGTATGACTTGGGAAAGGCTTGCCATGATGACTCCCCAGCTATTCCAGAAAGGGAGTGGAGATAGTTGAATGGAGAGGGACAAAAGGACAGCACTCATAAGAGCATAGAAATGACAAACAACATGTTGTGCCTATGACAATGTGAACAACTCCATGTTTCTGGAGATTGGAGGGTGAGGTGGAGCATGTTAAGACACTAGTTAGGATCCTGGAGATCACAAAGTCCATTACTTGAATTTTAGCCTGGAGTAACAGGACTATGTTATGCTTATGGTGTTTTCTTTTTAAGTAACAACTTTATTGAGATATAATTCATGTACCATAAAATAACACACCCAATGCACTGTAGTATATTCATAGAAATTAACAACAATCTCCACCTTCTTCCTTTTCTCTCTCTCTTTCTCTCTCTCTCCCTCTCTCCCTCCCTCTCTCTTCCACCTTCTTCTTCCTTTTTTTCCTCCCTTGCTCCCTCTCTTTCATTTTTGTTTTTAAGACAGAGTCTCACTAGTTGCCCAGGCTGACCTCAAACTCAGAATTCTCTCACTTGAGCCTCCTAAGTAGCTAGGTCTGCAGATGTGTGCCCAGCTAACATCTCTACCTTCTAATTTCAGAAAAATCATATTACTCCAAAAAAAATCATAGTCATTAGCAATCATTGCCCTACTTTCTCCCCCTGCATCAGCACTTGGCAAATAGTAATCTATTTTTTAATGAATTTTCCTATTCTGGATACTTCATATAAAAGAATCATACAATATAGGGTCCTTAGTGACCAGCAAGGTTCATCCATGTCACAGCATCTTTCAGTAATTCATGCCTTTTTATAGACAGTACTACACCATTAGTAGGGATGTACCATACTGTATCCATTCATCAGTCGATGGACATCTGGGTGGTTTCTACTTTTTTAATAGTAAATTCATTCTATTCATCCAGATATTATGCTGCTATAAACATTTGTGTACACATTTCTAGACAAATGTTTTCAATTGTCTCAAGCACATAGTTAGGGACCATTGCTGATGTTTTTAATGGTCATACTCAAGTTTTAGCTCATCCTAATGACTATGAGGATGGGTTTGAAGGTAATAAGGCTGGAGGCTAGGAAAGCAGCAGTGGGAAAAATAAGGAAGAAAGTTAAGAAATACTTAAGTGGTTAAGAATCAGAAGCATTTGATGCAGTAGTGTGTCAGTAAAACACTCTCCTTTCCATAAACATGCCCCAGATTTTCTTGCCTCTGAGTCTTTGCTCATATTGCTCTCTCCTGAATTGTCCTTCTCTTCCATCTCTTTTAAGGCCCACTTGAAATGTTGTCTTTCTTTGCTCTCTTTAGCTCATGGTATTTTCTGTCTCATATAGATAGATGATAGATGATAGATGATAGGTAGATAGATAGATAGGTGTTTTTGAGATACTGATTGAACTCAGGCCCTTTTGCTTGGCAAGCAGTCTACCACTTGTGCAACGCCCTACTCCTGTCCCATGTATATTTGAAAGCAATTTGCTAATGCCACTTAGCACACTTTTTATATTGTCTTGCATATGTTTATTCATGTATGTATGTTAGCTTTCCATTTAGACTACAAGCTCCTTTAGAGCAAGTACTGCATCTCATTTCAAGAACCAATAAGATTATAGAATAAGGGCATAGGTCAGTCGGAGGCTGTCTAAAGTAGTAGAAGGTCACATTCACGCAGCAAATAAGCAGGCGATAAAGTGAAGCCTGGGTCTGTGACACTCCACAATTACACTTAACTCCTCCCCTCCCAGGAGCTTTCTTACATAGGCAAACATAATGCTCTGGATTTACTGATTATCCCATTCTTTTTGTTTTGTTCTTGTGGTACTGGGGATTAAACCCAAGATCCTCAGAATGCTAGGCAAGTGCTCTACCACTTGAGCTATGCCCCCAGCCTTGATTCTCCAGCTCTTGGTTGTATTGTACGATTTTCTGAGGAAACAACTGCCTAATAAACCCAGATCATCAACTGCCTAATAAACCAATCAGTGTTGGGCAACACAGGTGGTAAATCTTTCCATGCCTTATCTTTATTCCCTTTTCCAATAGCCCATGCCTATTTTAATAAAAACCGGCTGCAAACACTATGTAACTTTATAACTCTTGGAACACCTTTTCCCCCCACAATACTGGGGTTTGAACTCAGGGCCCGCAATTGCTAGGCAGGCACCCCACCACTTGAGTCACTCCGCTAGCCCTTGGAATAGCTCTTAATTATAGCAATACCAAGCATAGGACAGGTGTTTCAGAGCCAATGCAGTTAGTATCAGTTCCACCAATATCCAGGTACACTAATGCTTACAAAAATCTGGATTAAAACAGGATCCCATTTAGTCTAGAAAAAAATACTTTCAAGACGAAGTTGTCCTTAATTTTCAGTTTTCTTTAAATTAATTTTATGAGAATAGTTATCAAAAAATATTTACAGGATGGTCTGCATCTAGTTCAGATCCATACATCAGAACTCTATTAGCGCAGAAGTCCAGGTCAGAAATCTTCTTTGGAAACCAAGGAATAGTTTCTATACCTGAAAAATACAAAACCCACTAAAAGTTGAAGAGAAAATCTTAAGTAAGGCTGCACGGAAGAAGAAATTAAGAAACAAATACATTTGGTTGAAATTTTAACTTGTACAATCAAAGCAAAATTTACACAAGTTAAGTAAAGTGGTCTATTTCTAAGAAGTAAATTATATTCAAAAGCTTTAGCTTAAATTCTTTTTAGTGTTCAGGTTGACTTCCCAAGCATTGGAAAAATACATACTTTAGTAACAGACCAAAAGTTTTTTTAAAAAAATGTTTAAAATCACATATTCAGTTATTGTACAAAAACAGAATAAGGATGTACAATTTTATAGTCCTTGGACTAAAAAACTCTAAGAACTTTGAATACCTATTTTTGTCGATGAAAAGAATCTTAGATGTTTATGTCTTTGCACCCTGATCTTCTCACATTCCTCAGTCATAAGATTCTTAGTTTTTACATATGTTCTTCCCACTCCTGCCTCACCCCACCTTTCTGTTTTCCTGAGAACATCCTTCTTATCCTTCCAGACCCAAATCCAATGAGATCTCCTCATGCCACAAAGCTTTCCCTGACTGCAGGCAGAACTGACTCTCTCTGCTTCCTGTGACCCTGTTTCTAACTCCATACAGGCCTTTGCAGTTTTACTGTAACTGTGCTGTTGTAACATATCTGTTTATAAGTCCGTCTTTCACAGAAGACTGGGAATGACTTAGAGTAAGGACTGTATGTTTTTACATTCCTATTTCTTTGTAGAAATATCTGGCACAAGTTAATGTAGCCTAATAACAAGTGAACCATCCATCTAGTCATCTATTTCATTTCATAGGTGAGGTAACCAAACTTCAGAGAAGAAGGTAATTTATCCAAGGTAACTCATTGGCAAGAGAAGAGGACTAGAACTCAATCCTTCCTGCTCCAGTGCAATGTTCCTTCTATTATACATAGGAGTGGTGTCCAAAAGATATAGCAACAAATACAGCAGGGGTGCTGAACACTCAAAAGAGACAGCAGCAGAGCCCTGGGCTTCTGCTGGGCCAGCTGTTATCCCTTCTTGTTAGTGATGGGTGTGAGGGGTCTAGGGTAGCAACAGAGGCTTCAGGCATGGTGGAAGCACTCAAGGGACTCAGAGAAGCCAGAAGTAGAGATAAATCAGTATCTTAATAATTATACAGCTGTACAAATGCACAACAGATAAGTACCAGCCCTGATTATACATTAAATATTATAACATAATTGAATGAGATTATTTTAGATTGAGTACCATACATAAAATGTGGCTAAATTAATTCACTTGTCTTTTGTCTCACGTAAACTATAAGCATTTTTTTCACAAATGGAGACCTCAACCTCGGTCTTTGTTATGGGAGTATCTGATGGTTTAAAAGGCATTACTGCTTTCTCGTTTGCTTTTGATGGGAATGCTGTATGTGACATTTGACATCACCGTTGTCAGACACTGTCAAAATTGTGAACAAATTCAAATATTCATTCCATATCTGCCAGATGCTAAGCCCTGAGAGAGTTCCTAAGTGCTTAAGGAGTGTGAACCACAAGTTTGCGGATTCAAGAAATGATTAAAATTTGAAAATTTTAGAAATGAAGAGAGAACTGATTTCTAGCCATTCTGTTTCTTTCTCATCTCAAGGTTCCCTTTTCATTTCTCTCACCCTTGATCAGATACTGCTTTATCACTTTTATTTTGTGTTCTCTTTACTATCAGAGTGTAAGAAATCTGAAAAGTTGTGTTTTATTTTTATTTTCATGTCGATGAATAAGAGTGGACACACGTTCAGTACTTTATCTTCTAAGTAGTATTTTCACTTTCCAAACTTACCATCTTCCTTCAGAGTGAAATTGTCTGGTGGATTCACAGAGAGCACGTTAGAATGAGACTTCAGCAGATGAAAAATATCATTCCATTGTTCTCTGTTGATATCGCAATCAACAAAAATCTCAAATTCTGAGTTTCTTCTCTTTGATTTTCGGGACTCGATATGTAACAGGTTCACATGCTTCTCCTGTGTAAAGTAGAAGGTAAAGGTCACATGTAATCATGTTAAATGTTAATAGTCTTTGAGAATACTACTTTCATTACTGATAAAAACCAGTTTCACCTAAAGCAGATACTTTAAAGCAACTGAGGCCAATAGGAGAAGGGGACCAGGAACTAGAGAAAAGGTTAGTTCGAGAAGAATTAACTTAGAAGGTAACACACATACACAGGAAATTAATGTGAGTCAACTCCCTGTATAGCTATCCTTATCTCAACTAGCAAAAACCTTGGTCCTTCCTATTATTGCTTATACTCTCTCTTCAACAAAATTAGAGATAAGGGCAAAATAGTTTCTGCCTAGTAGAGAAGGGTTGAGGGGGTAAGGGAAGGAGTGGGGGGAAGGGGGGGAGAAATGACCCAAACATTGTATGCACATATGAATATAATAAAAAAGAAAAAAATGTGAAAAAAAAACACTAAAAAAAAAAAAACAGTTTCACATATCATGATAACCAATGAGGAAAGGGTGGTTTTTTTGTTTTGTTTTTTGGTGGTGCTAGGGTTTGAACTCAGAGTCTTGCACTTGCTAGGCAGGCGCTCTACCACTTGAGCCACACCCACAGCCCTTTTTGCTTTAGTTATTTACGGAATAGGTCTCACATTTTTGCCCAATTTGGCCTGGACTGCAGTCCTCCTGTTTATGCCTCCTATGTAGCAGGGATGACAGGCATGAACCATCATGCCCAGTTTATTGACTTAGATGGGGTCTCAGTAATTTATTGCCTATGCTGGCTTCTTGATCCCCATATCCCAAATAGCTGGGTTCCAGGTGTGAGCTACTGTGCCCAGTCAGGAAATGATGTTTTTAAGTGAGTGCTGTCAATGGCAAAATAATTCCCCTAAGCTATTAGGTACAATTCAATACAAGTTTGCAAAATTTACCACACTCTACCAAAACAATAAAATTACACTGACTAGATGTCTTTCAGGTTGTCAGAATTAATTGGGATTCAAATCAAAACACTGAGTCTTAGATAAAAAGAACCTTTGGAAAATTCTCACTAAAAAATGTTGCTTTCAAAAAGTCATACTAATGTTGGTTCTGAGAAATAAGTTTCCTTTGCAAAAGTGCATTTAGTAAAATTAGATGGACACCTGAACACAGACTTAGTGAGCAGTCAAATCAGCTTGCTTCTTCTGCTTCCTTCCCCTAGCAGCCTGAGCTGTGGACACCAGGTGTGTACACCTGGGCAGAGGGATGTTCACTTACCAGTGTGGGAGGCTGAGAGAAACACTAGGGACATAATAAGGAAACATGAGAACCAATCACCGATAAGTTTTTTCATCTTAAAAAAATGAGAGCATTAGAACAGAGGATATTCAGTAATAACCAGTTCATCTTAAAATAACTTAGTGAACAGCTGTGCAGCTAGAAAAAGGCTGTGAAGAATACAAAGAAGGGAAGATGCAAAAGGAATTTAAAGTGTAGTTGGCTAACACAGGAGAGACCACAGGAAAATACAAGCAGTGAGTGTTCAGGTACAGAGATATTCGGCAAAGCAAGAATTCGTAGTGAGTTAGAGGTTGTAGAAGGCTTTGTGGAGCAGCTGGGTAATAGGACAGGAAGACAGAAGATAAGAAAGAGGGATTCCAACCTGAAAGGACTATCTAAGCAAAGGATAAAGGCAAGCTTTGTTTCATCTATTACTCACGATTTTTATTACAATAATTAACTTGTAAATATTTTCTAAGCAATGAGCAGGTATAAAGCTAAAGATTGTTTTGTGAGAAAAAATGCAAAATGTCTATTCTTCCTAAATTAATAAGGTGTAAATAGTAAATTGAACAGTACCAAAATAAAAATCTGAATGGAATTTGGTGAGGAAATGTAACTCAATAATTTCAGGGTTCATCTGGAAGAAAAATACAGTCAGGAAAATTCAGATAAAATAAGAGAAATAGTGAGACTGTATCTATCAGTTATTTCAATTACAGGAACAGCAGCACAGAGGGGTTAAGCAGTTTGCCCAAAGGCACACAGCTAATAAGTATCAAAACTGGAATTCAAACCTAGGCTGTCCAGCTCCAAGGTTCGTACTTTTAAACACTATATTATAATCCTGTTGTATAAAAAAAAAAGAAGAGTCACAATGGTAGATAATGGCTCTTCTTTGAACAATATTTACAAAATCTTAACAATGAAAACAGTGAACATTTACACAGCCAAAATTTGGGATGTAAATCCCTTGAGAAAATATGGGGTGGGAAGTTGAGGAGACCCCTGGAAAGGGAGTTGTGTCAAGAAACCTATAGCACATGTGAATAAATGAATAATAAAAAAAAACCTATAGCATTCCTTCCATTGTAGGAAATTAATAGATAATACCTATAACTGAATAAAATCAAGAAATAGAAGCAGAATAAGCATATTATTTATTAGTGTGGGAGTAAATGCTAGTGAAACAGTTTAAGAGGTTTTAAATGGTTGCCTCTACCAGGCTAAGGGTTAGCATGATGGGATGGACTTACACCCACAATATCAGACAGCATTTAGAAGAATGAATGAGATGCATGCACAGCAGCCTTAAAAACACGATGCCAATGGGAAAATGGTTACAGCACCATAACATTTCTGAATCACTAATGTATACACACATAAACACTCTTCTAAAATGCACATGAAGACAGTCCATATAAACACCATGCGTATTAGAGCATCTGTCTCTCAGAAGAGAGACGTGGAGATTGAATGAAACAATAAAACAAGATAGGAACAGGCTGCAAAAGTCAATGATGGTGTGTAATCATTGTGATGTAATAATGAGTATGATCCCTTAAAACTAAATGACACTTTGGAAATGAAGAGAGAAGAGACAGAAGACTGCTGATTTCCTTATAAATTTTATAGTTGGGGGTGGCTTTTTAAACCATGCATACGTATTCTTTGATTAAAAATGAAAGTGTGGGGGGGAGGTGACCCAAACAATACACATGTGAATAAATGTAAAAACGATAAAAAAATTTACAAGGCACCAGTTTGGTAAAGTGTTTCCCTGAACTTTGTGTGTTAGAAGGCTTATATACTTGGAGAGCAGGAATACATTCAACATGCAAAGGAGCTGTCAAAATTAGCATCACAGCTACAGAGATATCATATATGCATATTAATTTAGGTTTTTTTCCTTTGGAGTAGAAAATAAAAATCTTTCTTTTTAAAAAAATAAAAGCAAGTGGAAGTAGTAATATAGGTATACTATTTAGAGAACCAAAGGTAATCAATAAATAAAAACAATAATTATCCAATTTGGAGGAGGTAGGAAAGAGGAGGGAAGTAAGATGGCATAAATAATATCATTGTTTGCAAAAGAGCAAATTAATACCATGTTTGTTCATAATTCAACGGAGATATAACAGCAGAATTTGTTTTGCAACTCACTACCAAAGCGTAAGGAAGAGAAATTGTTTTAAAAGTTACCTCTAGAAGTGGGAAAGAGGAATGGTGTAGGATAGGAAATCTGGTGCTTTTCCTCACAAACTCTTCTAAATTATTTGTCTATATTTAAATTTTTATTTTGGGGGTTATTATTTTTCAATGGTGTAAAATAGAATGTCATATGGATATAAACTTGATTTTTTAAAGTTAAGTTCATTGATCATTTACTCTGTCCTATCCTAAGCACTTTAAACACATTTATTCTGCTAATTCTTACAGCAACCCTATTTGGTAGGCAAGGTTCTCAATTTACAGAGTGTAGAGCGATTAATTCACCCATGACCCCCCTCCCCAGCTCCAGGTCTTCCTCCAAAGCCTGCAATGGTGCTCTCCCAGCATAATGCAGCCTGGTTTAGTTCCTATAAATAAATCTTTGTGTCTCTGAGTCTTTAAACTAGAGTAGGTCCCCCAGTTTCACAGTAGCTGGTACTTCTCTTCCAGGTCACTTTATACAAATGTAATTATTTCCTTATTAGAACTATTTGTTACTATCTCTCTTCTTTATAGATTACATACTGTGTGAGGGCAGGCACCATGTCCACTTTGTTCAGAGCTCATCTTTAGCATTTAGCCTAGCACCTGGTAAGTGGCAAGTACTCAATAAACATTCATGTTCTTCTGACTCAAGGTAGTTGCATGGAAGTAGAATTACTGGGCCACAAAATACAAACATTTTAAGGCTCATAAATACATATAACCAGATGTTTCCCTACATTGCACCAATTTATCCTCATGCTGAAGGGGTACTTGAAGAGCAAATGCACTGAAACTCTGACAATAGGGAGTATATAATTGTAGAATCACTGCTACTTTCCTATCTGAAAAATATCATTAAGTATACTACAGTACATCATTAAATTGTATCATCAAATAGATCATTAATATATGAGTAGGTATATTGTTAAATTTTAAATATTTTATCTAAGTAAAATCTCTTGAAATCTATGAAGTGAATCTTTTTCCCAAATTCATTTCTTCTTCCTTCCTCCTTCTTCTTCTTCCTTTTTGGCAGCACTCAAGGCTGAACTCTGAGCTGGAACCTGCTAGGCAGGTGCTGTACTACTTGAGCCAGTTCCCCAGCCCTTTACTTCACTTTTGGTTATTTTTGGGTGGCCAGGACTGTGATCTTCCTATTTATGCTTCCCACGTAGCTGGGATGACAAGCGCCACATCTGGCCATTGGTTGAGATAGCAGTATTACTAACTTTGCTCTGGCTGGCCTCAAACCAAGGTCCTCCTGATCTCCACTTCCCAAATAGCTAGGATTACAGGCTGGATCCATCACACCCGCTTCATTTCTTTATTAGATATTTGTATCTACTCTTTCATAAGATATCTGAAGTCCCACCCATTTGTTAGGACTAAGCAATATTTTAGAAATATAAGTTCTTAAGAAACTTCTATAACCCATCTGAATAATTTACAATAGTTTATATTTTAAGCATAACTTTGGAGACTCATTTTAGAAAGGTTTTATACATAGAGCACTTACCTGGAAGATTTTCAGAGCCTTTAAAAGTCCTCCAACCTCATTCTTCAAGGAAAAAATGAGAGTTGCTCTTCCCCTTTCTAAGGAATGGTCCTTGTTGTCCTTACTGTCTTCAATCATGACGAACTTGGGAGTAATTCTCTAAAACTAAAGCATGATATGTAGACAAAGGCTAAACAGGAAGTTGTATGACACCGACAATATTTGAGAAGTTAGGGCACACAAGGCTCCTCGAGCTTTCGCTTCCTCACCTGCAAAACCTGGGTGTGCAGGTGTGCTTTGCAAGAATATGAGGAGACCCAATCCTTCATGATTTCCGGGTTTTGTACTATAGCGCTAATGGAACTAACATAAAAACTCAACGTGATATAATTGAGTCCACAGTCTTTCACCCGCTCTTATTAATTGGTGCAAGCCTGTGGCACCACCACTCATAGCCGACATGGTGGTGACATAGAGCCTTCCCTGACCTTCTCAGGTCAGTTCCCCTCAATGTTGGCTCCCATTCTCAGGGAAACTTACAGTCTTTCTCTCCAACATGAGTGTGGACTGCGTGGGGCAGGGATCACACTGCTTTACTCATCATTTGTACCCCTAACACCTCGCACATAACAGCCACTAGATAAATATCACTGAGTGAATGAATGAGTGAGTGAGTGAAGACACCTTCCACCCTCGGGGAACTGTAGGTCTGGTAGGGAGAATGATAGTGCAGAAAGAAAAGAACTGTAATAGAGAGCATAGACAGCATAGGGTGGCAGTGACTTGATTAATTATTCTGGTATCTGTTCAGAGAGATTTCCTTGAAGATATATTTAAACAGGGTCTTAAAGAAAAAAGAGAGAGGGAAGGAGTAGATGTGGAGGTGAAAGACAAAAGATGAGGAGGTAACCAACCAGTACAGAACAGTGAGAGATCATGCAGGCAATGTTTGTGGGGTCAGATACGTTAGAAGCTCTCTATGGGTAACACAGGGGAATTTGGACTTAATCTTCTATATCCATCCAAATATCCAGCTAGGCACGATGGCAAGTCTGACCCAAGGCTAAATGGAAAAAGGAAAAAAAAAAAAGACAAGGTAGTTTTCCATTAACCTAGTCTTGGCTTTGAAATGCCTTTCTATAGGATGATATAAGAAGAGGTTTTTGTCTTTCATCCAATAAAGCCTTTTTCTTCCCCCAGGCTATGTAACATTTGGGGGTCCTTTTCAAGAACTGTGGCAGCCATGAACAGAACCATCTGACTTTGTCAAGGAGTAAAGTACCAAATATGGCTCAATTATTTTCAACTGTATGGTCATAAACAGTACTCTGACACTAAATATGCTAATGCAATACAACTTGCTGTTGCAGAATTCAGCCATCTTTGCAATTTAGTTTAACAAATATTTATCAGGCATGTGCTAAGTTAAAGGTCCTCCACATATAAGTTCAGACAGGATGGAGATAAGAAAAAAAGTGACTTGCCACCCTACTGGTGGCTAGATTTCATCCATGCTTAGCAACCTGAAAGTTAGGTAAGGGAACTGACACTTTTCACATGTCTACACTATTATTATTCCATTCGATTCTCATAAAATCTTAGGGGATTGGATAGGAACTGCATCTATTTTATCAATGAGAAAACTAAAACTAACGTATAAGTGTCCATGGTCACACAGCTAGAGAAGGTGAGAACACATGTTAAAACTGAGTCCTTGAGATTGTATGTCTTTCTGATTTTCTGAACGTTTTTAGTGTAACCTGGGTGAAATCAGCTCTCTATGCTAACATCCATATTTTCATAACATCCCATAATTACTGGTTGTCAGTGTTTATGGGGCATCAGTTCTTTGTTCATTCATTCAACTATCTCTAAATCCTTTTCAAAACATTTCAGTATTTTCCCTTGTTACCACCCTACCGGGCCCCCAATACTAGCCTGGTAAGATAAAAGGCTACAATGTGACTTGTTTGGATCTATGTCTCTTCAGGAACTATATATTTTCTTTTTAAAGCAACACCCTGCACAATCAATGCCAACTGGTACTTTGTCTTTTCTCTTGAAAGCCAGGGAATCACTCAAGGCAGGGCATCATTCTCCAACCACATTTCCTCAAGGGACAAAGTGATGGACACAAGACATCCCAAGAAGGAGATCAACAGATCAGCAGCCCCTTGGTAGAGTATGGTCTAACCAACTCTTCCCTTAGTTTAATCAATAACAAGCAAATTTTAAATTTATCTCATCTAGGAAGCACAATGCTTATCAAATTAAAGCCTTTGGAAAGCATTGTCGCAGCTTGAAGACAGAACTAAAAACTAGAGGATGGCTTGGGGAAGAATCTTGATTTTCTTTTCTAAATGGCAGGTGGCAATGAGAATGAAAGTGGAGATGACATACAACAGAAAATACTGCCCATGGAAAACATCATTCCAGGAAATAACAGAACTGGCAAGAAAAGAGAAACAGAAGATACATCCCTACTTGAAAATAATCTAATATCATACTAATACTATATACACAGATGAGTTCCTGTGATAAAATCTGTACCCCACACACTATGACTTTACAGAAACATTTGGAACTAGAATTCCATCCTTGTTTTAGAATTGTCAGGCACAGTTTTCCTGGGTTAGGAAGTTCAACTCTAGTCTTTTCCTCATACGATAACTAGAGTAGAGTATCAACGGGGAGTTAATTTTCAATTTCTGAAAACCAAACGAGTAAGTTTAATCAGGGTTAAGTTTACCTAGACGATTAACTAGAGCTAACGTTCAAGGGCCTGTGCCTCTTTGTCAATTGCGACCTTGTAGGGAGCTCTGAGTTCTCTGTTGGGTCGCAGGCAATGAGGGTAGGCGTGATGCCACGCTGAGGGGACTGGCATCACACCTCTTCTGCGGAGAATCGAAGGGAGGAGTCCCTTTATGGAAGGGAGGTGTTGCCTTTTGATGGAGTGGGAAAAAGATAAATACGTGTTTCGCAGTCACACAGACTTGGGTTTGACTCTGAACCTCAGTATCCTCATCTATAAAATCAAGAACTATCTATGTACGGGGTTTGTTGTGAAGGTGACATCAGATGTCAGGTGAAAACCTTGTTTCCGGCTGAAAGGAGGCCCTTGACAATAGTGTGTTCTTCCCCAAAGAGGGCAGGAGGAAAGAAGAGTGAGGTCCACATAGGGGCATGCCTTCAACCTACCAGACCGGGCTCCTCATGGGTATTAACCTCCCAGGAGGGCTGTCCCCGCCCGCGCCAGCCGATCGCCCCAAACCTTCCCCAGCGGCCCCTGGGTCCCCGCGGCAGGGACCAGCCCACTCACCTCTGACGGCCACGGGGATGAGCAGGCTCAGCCCGGGGACCCGCGCCGCTCGTCTCTTATAGAGAAATGGGAGTCCGGACCAGCCAATGGGCGCCGGAGACATCCGGCGGGGGCCAATGAGAAGTGAGGGGCGGTGGGCGTGGTCGGGGTTCTCTCGGCGGGCGGGGGAGCGTCGGCCCGGAGCTGACCTCCCCCGGGTGCTGACCGTGACCGCCAGCCAGTGCGCCTTAGCCTTCAGGTGTATTTGACTGGCGTTTTAATTAAGCTAATGTTGGGCCATCCTTAAACACAGAAGTCTGACTAATATTAAACAATCCAAAGTTAGAACTTCCCTCCAAACTAAATAGCCTCTATATTGACATAATGACCCCCCTAGAGGCTGGTACCGCTTCTCCCTGGTTGGAGACCCACACCTCTGTGCTTCTGGGTTATTGAGTAACAGCCTGGTCCTGCTCATCATTTCTCTGAGTGTTCCTTATTCCACTAAGCAGAGCGATCCTTGAACTTTTTAGAAAGGAAGAGCTCAGAGCTCGTGTAATTAAAAAGCTGCAAGAAGACGAGCATGCATATTAACAGAAAGTCGTAATGCATGCTATACGAACCTGACGCAGAAGCCAGAGGCTTGGAATAGGTTATTTATTGGTTGAGGGATCAGTTGATTGGATCTTATCTCAACACACTATACAGTTGTCCCTCAGTATCCTGGGGTGACTGGTTCCAGGAACCTTATGTCAAGGAGTGTTCAAGTCCCTTATAGATTTTGCATGTAACCTATGCACACACTCCTGCACACTTTAAATGATAATGTAAATAGTTGTTATACTGAATTGCTTAGAAACAATGGCAACGACGAAAATCTGCACGTTTCAATACAGAGGCAATTCTCCCCTCAAAGATTTTCAACCCAAAAGTGATTGAATCATCAGATGTGTAACCTTGGACATGGAGGGCCAACTGTACATGTAGCAAGTTATAGTGTATGTATTGCTAATTTTTTAAAAGTCAAGTTTATTGATGCATAAATAACACACTGTAAGAGCCACTCTTTTGAGGGGCACAGTTGTGAGTTTTGACAAAAGTACACAGTATGTAACCACCAAACAATCAAATATAGAACATTTCCATCACTCCCCAGAAGTTCCCTTGTTTCAATCCTCTTTCCCCATACCCTGTCCAGGGCAACCATTGATTTTTCTGTCCCTAAAGCTCTTTTCCTTTTCCAGAAAAATGAAGGGACTCTATAGGTTTTTGGTTCTTGGTACTCAACGTAATGATGTTGAACTTCATATTCCATGTATCAGTAATTTATTAGTTGCATGGCTGAGTACAGATGTACTTTAAATTTCAGGACACTTACAGTTTTCACTCTATGAGGTAAATACTACTCTTCACTCTATGAGGTAAATACTACTCTATGAGGTAAATACTACTCTTCTTTTCCAGTTAAGGAAATTGAGGCACAGGAAGGCTCTATGACTTTCTCTGGCACAGTTAATAAGTAGAGTCAAGAATCAAACAAAAGCATTCTGACTTAACCCAGGGTTCTTGCTGCAATACCATGAAAAACACTGCTCAGAGACTGACCTTCCAGAACCAAACTGAGGGCAAGGTGCTTTTCCTAAAGTTGGGTCAATAGGAGGACATGAACCACCCTGTCAAAGAAGAGAGAGAGGCCATTTGTTCAGTGAGCCCATCCCCAAGAAGGTGAGGAGAGTGGGGTGGAAACTGGCAGTGAGGTAGAAAGGCCTGGTTAGTTGATACCACAGAAGCCTGTGTACAAGGTCACTGTGAGGGGATAAGAAGAGCAAGAACCTTCTCTGAGCCTCTGTGAACACATCTA